TGCCTGCTACACTCGGTGCTCAAACCTCCCACCCAGCTTTGTCAACCCAGCCTGGAAGCTCTCCAGACCTGGAGCTATTTGGAGCTCCCTGTGATGATTATATTGAAGTGCATAGCAGCTCAGCAGTTCAGATAACCACAGGGTGGTAAGAACTACTTACCATGTCAAAAATGGAGAAAAAGACAAATCATGGCTGTCTGTGAGGCATATGGTAAAAATAGTTACTCAAGGTGCTTCTAAGCAATCTGTCCCTGATATCACCATGAGTCACTTCTCCTCTTGTGAGAAGGTTTCTCTTAGTGAGATTCTCCAGAGGGATTTCCAGAGACAGGCCATGCCTTCTGAAACCCCCTGGAAGCCAAGGGAAAACCACAGCAGGATACTGCACAGTCACAAAAAAGAGACATCTCTGAAATTTGCGATGACTGCAAGCCGTACTAGTGTCTGGCTTTCAAATGCCTCAGGGTTGCTTATCTCCTCATTTAATTGATGTGGTAATTGGAGAACAGAAATAAGCAAACACTGACAGAAAGCAGCCAAAGATGCATCAGTAGGTCCAGAACACAAACCTCTGTCTCTCTCCCTCTACTTTTACCCACTGCATGTTTGTCCAGTACCTTGGTCAAAGAAAAGTCTAAGAGTAATTTTAAATATGAATGGTTATGCTATATTTTAGACATTTCTGTTTCCATTTCTGAGACAGCCTTACCGTGCTCAGCGAGGCCTGAATTTCATTGATGAAATTTAATGAATGCTGCTATCATGAAACTAAGGTCAGCCCTTGAAAATATGCAAGCTTAAGATGCCATCACATGAAGTTCATGGAAATTTAAAATAAAGGAAAGTGCCTTGATTTCTCTCTCACTGACATCGTGTCAGGAAGTAGTCACTGCCATGCCCTGGCCCAGTGTTCTATTGAAATGTTTGCTCTCTGAAAAGAAGTTTGGCACGAAACACAGTTGAGGTCTTCAGACAGGGATAAGGACGTAAGAGTGCAACAAACATTGTACTGTCCCAACAGACACCAGGAAATTATGGCAATAGGATGAGTTTTTCATGTCTTACTAGAAATACCTGCAGCTTCCACTCCAGAGAGGTGGGACCACAGCTCTGTGCAAAATGCACCTTTTGTTAACAGAAGAAGAGTTCTTTGCCAGTCTACTGACAACTACTCATTTCTCTCTCCACAGTGACTTCACAATTAGTAGCATCCCTCACTATCTCTTCGTATAGAAGTCGTCAGGCATGGTAAATATAAAGATCCTTTGCAGTGTTGCCAGACGGAAAGTCACTCTTTTGTGAGGGAGATACTGAAACATGTCTAGACTGACACGATTCATCTAATCCTGGCACAGCCATCAAGGATCATAATTTTGTGCCAAATAATGATGCAGCTGAAGTCAGAACAGTCAATCTAGTTACAAAGTGTTTTGCCTGCCACGGTCCTTGCCCGGTACTGCTAGATCCTTCCTAGCCAAGCATTTTAATGATTTATAAATGATTCTATAATGTATGAATAAAATACAACCCTACACAGACAGAAAAGCTACCAGCAGCTGAAAATACAAGCATAGACCACAGGAGGACCTCACAGGAGGAAAAAGTTACAGTCTTGCCAGCTTGGCCATTTTCACAGAATGCAAGTAGAAGAAATAACTTCTTAGTAGAAGAAAATATCCGTTCTACCATCATTATCATCAGCCTTCTAAAGCAGAATAGAATTCTTACTGCCTCCCCCCTGCCACCTCCAACGCATTTACTTGCATTAAAGCATAACCTGGTATGTGTCTACTGAGTTACAAACTCATACAAGTCATGTACAGTGCTCCCTGTCCTGCCCCAGCAGAAGAGACCAAACCAGCAAGAAAGAGAATTCATTTAAGGTCTTCCCCCAGAGACTGTGTCATGTGTCTGATTTTGGGATATTCAACCAGATCTTGTCTTATAAAACTGGCCTCTGGCACAACCATCAAGGTGTCAGCACTGGGCCATGAGGCTGCTGAGAATACATTTCTACCCTCTCAAGAGTAAGGTATTTCCTGCCAAAAAGCTTGTTTATGAATGTGTCAGACTCAAGAAAGAAGAGGCTTTGTGCCCATTAAAGCACTTCATCATTCCATTAAGAAAAGAGAGAGGGAAAACCAAAACTTAAAGGCTCTGGCAGAAAGTGTTTGTTTGGCTGGAATAGAATATGTCTGAATTAGTGAGCTTAGCCTGCAACACCAGAAATTGGTGTAATAGATGTAGCTTTAACAGCATAGGACTTAAAGATAATTTACATTTCTCCCAGCTAGCATAGTGACCATCTAAAAGACAAGTGAATTCTGTAAAAAGCCAGTAACAGGGGGTTTTATGCTGAGCACTACTACGGGAAATCCTGTTCCTGAGCTGTTCTAGAACAAATACGTTATTATTATTATCTTCATCTACACAATAGATGAAGAACTGCTTCTGCCTTGAATTTCTGCTGATGGGCACTACCAACAGAACTTTCACAATACACTACTGGATTTCAGATTTACAAAAATATCCACATCTGCAGAGAGAAGCCAGCCTGGCTCTCTGGATGAGATTGTTCTGCTGCATGGCCATTTGCAGACAATGAGCAAATAAAAGCTTCCAAACTACACCAAAACACAAACCATAACTACATCCTGCTGTTTTATTTGCGTTTCACTCTGTTTCAATTAACTGAGAAGAACCTGACAATTTAATAGCAACAGAAGGACAGAATGGGAAAGTAGCAGAGGAGAGAGCAACCAGACAGCTTTAGTCTCTGTAATGATGGGATAAGGAGGGAACAGGAAGCAAGGCTGCTGATTGATATCACATGCTCTGATAAACAGACTCAAAAACCAATGGATTTCTGCCCCTATCCTTGCAATTTTTGTCCCCTCAACAACTGTCTACTGCCTGGAGAAACAATAGGGAGAACCAATTGCTGGACATATGCACCAATTGTAACCAGTCCTGAAACAGTCCTGAATGCTGGCATTTAAATACTGCCTCTGGACCACAAAGCATGATTTGCACTTGTTTCACATTTCCTCCCACTTCCACCCCTCAGCAAACACAGTTACTGGGACTAATACCTTAAATGTATTTTGTATACAATATACAATACCTTTTGTATTCTGGTCCTACTTCCTTGGCAAGGTGAGGAGGATGCGCCCACAGAGGAGAAGGGACTTTGATAAGTTTTAGAATTCTTTTGTGGATTTGCGATAGTCTAAATATCACTGTGATATTTGAGGACCCATTTGTCTAGAACAGTTAGGGACTTCTGGTATTTTTTAGAATAGCTGTGGCTAAACAGGTTGCAGTAAGCTTTCTCCATGTGCTAGACAGACCTTCAATTGACTTGCAGAGACAGGACTTCAGGGTAAGGAGGGCTAAGCATTCAGCCTGATCTGGCTGGCACACTGAATAGGGTGAAAAATACCCTGTCTACACAGCTTGCAGGAACTGTGCTTGAGCCCCACTTGCAGCAGCAATCACATTTAGTACAGCTGTATTTCCATTACACAGAGAGCCTTCACAATTTATGTACAGTTTAATCCGATTATTTTTCTTCTCCATTTCTGCCTGACAAACTGTACTTGTGAGGCTCTTGGCTGGAAATCCATGCTAATCAACTTAAGGCCTAGTAGATAAAGCAAGGTTGTTTTCTCTGTGTTGTCAGCAAACCACATTTCATGACTATACTCAAACCTCTGTTAACTAAGGTCATTGGCATCTTCTGAAAATCCAGGAGCAAATAACAAGAGCCGGAAGAGCAGCAGCTTGAGTGAAGGCAGAAAATGCTGGTGGAGCAGCTCACAGCAGTGAGCAATGTGGGGGATACAGGGGAGGCCAATGGCTCTCTGCAATGTTTATGTGAATTACTTTGCTGATGGGTTCTATCCACCCACACACAAATGAGAGTTTTGACTATTTTACCCACAGAATTTTGTTCCCCGCATCATGCAAACTAAGTACTCAGCAACTGCCAGACTACTAAGCGAATGGTAGGAGATGTATTGATTCTGCAGTGGTAATGATCTTACATTTTCACATAATGCCTTAAGTGTCCCTGGGCACAGCACACGTTGCACCTATGAAAAGAAAGCACCTCAGGAATGAAACACCACAGCTGTCTGAAAGGACATTCCACCATCAAAGAAGGTGCAAACACCGGTAAAGCAAGACACACTCTTCCCAGCCAAAATTCTTAGCAGCATTTTGGACAGGTTCTAAATATAAGAACCAGATTAGGTACTAGATAGCCATTTCTTGGTAAAGGTGGAACAAGTATTGAAACTATTATCGAAACGATGAATTTCTTTGTTATTATGTTTACCACACAGCTGGTGAAGGAAAAACTGCTGCACAATCAAGTATCTAGCTAATGTATAACTGTACTGAAAGCTTAGGCTTAAAACCTGGCTGTTGTTAAAAGCTGTTTGTCAAGACATCAATTTTCTCTCCCATTGGAAAGCTAATGCCTCACACAATGTCATTTGTAATTGAACAGTGGCTCCACTTACATACTCAGGAGGCAAATGGAGCATCTGAGTCATCAAAATGCCTACAGTTCTCACTCCTGTAACTCCTACCCAAATTCTAACCTGCAGCCAACTGTCTTAACCAAAGATCACACTTCAAATCCTGTCTTTACTAAGCATTTTCTTAACACACAAAAGAAATGTGCATGTCACTGTTTTATGTCTCATAGTCTTGCCTGATAGTGGTCATTACTGCCATTTTGAGGGTTTCTTTTATTTCTAAAATTCAACTGAATTCTGGAGAACCTCAAGGAGAATAGAGTTGAGCACCAGGAGCTAAAGAACAACAGCAGGAGAGAGGGGAAAATTAGAAGGACTTTGATAGTTCTCCTTCTCACAGGACAAATCTGTGATCACTCTTCAAACCACTTGAGAGTTAGAGTGAAGGCTCAGAAATAAACCTTTCCCTGGACCTATAGGACAAGTCCTGACCCTGGTCAGGGAAGCTGTGCTTACCTCCTGAGTGCATTTGTCAGCTCAGCAGTCAGTTCACTCTCATTGTATGGTCTCAGCTCAGCAAGGGTTAGCGGTGTTGCGGTGCCATCACTACATTCCTGAGAAAGGAGGAAAAGCCACCTGATTAGAAATTACTCACCATCTTAATGGGAAAATTCTGAAAGGCTCTTAGTTCACAGCTACTTTTAAAAAGGAGGTGAAATAGACAACACAATGCTACAGCAACACAGCAGGGTATCATCATACCAAGAAATGGACTAAACAGATTAATACTTCACAAATGCCTCTAAATGTTTTTTAAAACACCACAGCTCACTGACTTGCAGAATTCTGCTACTGTGTGCAAAACTGCCACTGCCTTCCTTATATTTCTTTTGACACCAGACATGAAACAAAGAGGCATTGGGATCAAGAAATTCCGATGACGTATTGCCAGGAATAAGGAAGTAAGATGTTTTGTCTTGGTTTTTGTTTTTAAACACATTATTGACATTTTCTGGGGCCACAGCACTAAAAATAAGATAAAGTTTTCCAAGGTATTTATTTCTTAATGGAAATTATTACTGCAAATGCAGCAATCTGTTTATTCTGCATTATTTTGCATTAAGGGGAGAAGAGTCTTCATTCTCAAATTATTACAATCTGACTTGGAGAAAGAGATTGTCATTACAATGCTCTAAATGCTGCATAGAAATGAGTGCTAATGGGAGAATGGCATTTTGCTTAGACTCCCTTCCAGTGTTTCTAGTGAGTGGTAACAGGCAAAACACATGCTCAACCACAGCAACTTGTATGTCTGGCAAGACTGGCCTTGTGGTAGTCCTCAAAACACCCTTATTTGCGCCCATGCCTAACACCAATTCTTCAAAGTCCTCAAGTAACAGCATGGAAGGAACCACCTCACAACTAGGGAAGAGATGGAAGATCTGCATATAGACAAAATAAGAGCATGATTAACATGCTAAAGACTGCAATAGGGACAGGAAAGGTTTAATTAATCATGTTTACAACTTTGGAAATGTAGCTTGACTCCTGACCTTGCCCAGTTTGTCTCTACTTCCGCTGCTGGTTGAGCTGAGAGACCTCATTCTCTGCTCTTTTTGTTCTTCCACTTCAGACTTCAAGTGCTCAATATGGACAAGGTAGGCCTGCTCCTGAGCCTCTCGAGTGCTCAGCTTCAATTCCAAAGCCTTCTTCTCCTTCTCCAGCAGGTAAAGCTGTGCCTTGAGCTCTGCCATCTCTTCCTGTTGAAGAAACATTGCATTATTGCATGCTGCTTCATGGGACTAGGTACCTAATGAAAGATGAGATTAAACAAGATTTTCATCCACTCTTATAACCTAAGTACTCTTTTCATTGAGAAAACTATCAACATCCAGATGACTTTTTATAATCACACTGCTATTTGTCAAAGACCTGTATATCTTCAGTCTGAGTATGATGACCCCTGCCACCCCTTTATCATCTTCAGGAATAAGCTCAGAAGCAAAATTAGAATTAGACTATCAGAGATCTGAGAGGATTGCCACAGCTGCTGAAATTTCTCTGGTTCTACTTTGTCCTTCAGAGACCATTGTCTTAAAAGCAGAAGTGTATGACTTTCAAACATCTCCCTAAAAGCAAGATTTCAGTTTCTTATTAATAGCCAAGAATTAATCTCATTACAGTGGAAGGGGTTTGAGAGACTACGACCTATTCCTTACAAGGTATTGCCTTGTAATACCATGTGGTAAAATGAGTTATGTCAAGAAGAGCAACTGAGTATGGCACCATCAGATGTCCATTTATAATTTCCTTCCCCTAGGTGACCAGAATCCCAAGTATACACAACTTGAGTTTGACAGAAAAATGCACTCATTTATTTTCTTCCCTAAATATAATCCACAGAGGATGGACAGTGGTACTTGATAGAAAGAAGCTCAATTCTGAGAGCTGGCTTCTTGTTTCTGACAGGGCTGTCACCTATTGTAACACAATGTCTGCTGCCTAGGGACAGACCTCTGTTTTAACATCTGTCTGACAGTGGCTGGGCAGAAGCTTAAGAGCAGGGCGTGAGTGCAATGACCCTTCTTTAAGACATGCTCCAAAACTCCTGTGAAAAGCAAATGATGGGTTATTCCTGAACCAGAAGGCTCTCTACGATTAACACGTCAGAAATGTTTCTTGTACGAAATGCCTAGTTATTTTCTATACCCAGAAAAACCCAATATCCACAAAACCAAAAACAAAAAAAAGAGATAGTACTAATACATAATTTACATTATGTGCTTAAAACCACCACTAAACAAGCAAAAGACTGCCAAAACAAGCAAACAAAAAAAAAACCCCAAAAAACAAAACCCAACCCAGAGTCATGTTTTCACTGTTTAGCTTGCCTTGCCCTAGAGGTCACTTAATGGGTGAATACTACGTTCATGCAGACATTTTCTGCATTACATTTCTCTTGTTCACTATGTAAACACCTCTGAAAGACAGAAGTTTCTTGTTGTGTGGCCAGCCTAGGAACAAGTCACTATTTGTTTAAAACAACAACAATGACAACCAAACAAACAAAACCAACACAAAAAAACCCTAATCACAAAAATAACAGAGGTATCTTGCTTTATTGTTCAAAAATAATGCTGTTCATATTTTAGCCATTATTAACATACATTATACAAAACCAAATCTTTACACATATTTAGACAAACTTTTTATGTTGAAGGGAATCTAAATGCCTACAAAAATTTGCTGTCTGGATTAAGACTAAGCACTGTACACAGGTGTATCACAGTTACAAGCATCACTGGCTTATTCAGAACCATGCAAAAACAAAATCCCTATCTTAAAAACCCTGAAAGGCTCGGAAAGGTTTGTATAAGCTTTAAAGTCACTGATTTATTCATCTGCTTGTTTGTGAACAGAAGGTTAGAAGCATAACCAGTTTCATTCAATGCGGTTTACACAAATTTAGTTGTTAGGCAAACTTACCATTAATTGCCTCTGTCAACAGTAAAAAATGTAAATAATACTGATAAATAATTATGGGGAAATTTTGTTATAGGAGTTGAACTGGATGGTCTGATATACTCAAGTGTATGCATTTAACTTCTTAAGCTTCTACTTCTAAAGCCATTAATCTACTTAGCCTTCTTAGTGAAGGCTGAGAAGTAATTTGAACAGAGTATTTTGACACTTGTATGAATAAAAGATACTTTCAGCTGTCTGAATGGGATGGTCATGACAAAATCTTTCCTGGCTAGAGGATGAAGCCAGGCAAATTCAGCCCAGAAATAAGAGACATTTATTTCCTAAAAAAAAGGTAAATTAATCCACTACAACAACCAATGTGTGGAACAGGTTTTTCTTATCATGCAAAGATTTAACTTATTTTTTTCCATAAATATTCATTTTTTTTTATTTTATCCAAGCTCAAAATAAATTTGAGGATCAATGTTTAACTCCTTTGTTTATGAAGACAGTAAGCTTAGATCATCACATATGAATTCAGCAGTTTGCATCCTGTCCCAGAAGACATATCACGCACCTCCCATATGTTACTCTTCTCATGTCAAAACAATGTGACTTGGAAGTAAAGAAGCAAAAACAAAGCAGGAGAAAAGTTAAAAAGCTTGTGTCAGCCAGTGTCTTACAGAGGCTCACAGAGAAGGAACAGGAGGGAATGGAAAGGTTGAAGATGGTTATAAATTTGAACTGCAGTTGAGGATTGTGGTATGGACCCATGCAATGCGTGAGGCAGAGTGGCATCAGCCATTTTGGGAAAATTCAAGTAGTTCAGGTTTACTTAGAGAGTCATTATGCAGCAATTTTTCCCATGAAAATATTTTCTAAAGACTGCATCTAAATTTAATTGCAAAGACAGTGCCACCTTCATATATTTACTACTTCCCTTTTCTTCCAGCTACAGATTGCTGTGAAGCAGTTTTGCAGTTTAATACACCTGCATCTTCAGAGTGTGAGCACAAGTGGCATTCACTAAATGAAACCCTGAAGGAGGAGGTAGCAAGTGTCCCTGTTCTAGGGGATTGCAGAAGACTTAAGACAATCCATGCAAATTCGCAAGCTTCAGGTATCAAATCCAGCAGTTATTTTGGGACAAATTAATTTAATATTGAGGGATATTTTGTATTTACAGTCATACATAATCCTGGTTTTGGGCAAAAACTTGAATGAAAATTAAAATCTTCTGATTCAAAATAATCAGAAACACAATAGAATTCTCAAAATCAAAATTTGCATGTGATTTGCTCATGTAGGACTCTAATGTGGTAAGAAGTTTTAAAAGTCACAAAAAGCCATGGAGAACCACAGTAAACAAGGTGGGATGTACCAACCTTCAGAATTAAAACAAACCTCACAGCAGGTAAGTGTCATGCTCTAGTTATCTGTATTTCACTATACAAATCTGTAAGAGCATGAATGGCTGTAACAAAGGTGGACAATAGAATACTTAACATTTTCCACCAAAGACTGTAGTCTCAATGCACATCATGAGCAACGTTATCAACACCTGTACACAAAAGAGGAAAAATTATCAGTGTAGAAAGCTGAGACTTCTTATCTAGATTAAGTCCTTTGAAATGCAGAAAGGCTGTAAACCAAGAATTATTTACACCCATCAGAAGTAATCTCCTTGCTAACTGGGGCATGACAACAACTGACCTCAAAGCAAGACTACTCAATGATGACAAACCGTGGACGAGAATGTATTTGAAACGTGGTTAATTATTGCTTGAAGCAAAGAATTGAATTTTATAGGAGTACTGGCAGACCACTACCTCTTACGCTCTGGATTAGTAAAAAAATAATAATAAACAGGGCAGCAGAGAAACAACCCTCAAACTGCCTTTCTAATTAATAATGAAGAACTACTGTAGTAAAGGTACTTCAAACTGATAAGGTGATCAGCTTTTACTGGAAATCAGAAATGGAAGGTGCCAAAAGATGTGCCAGAGATTCCAACACAGAACCAAGTTTTGGGAAGACAGGAGGAGATTGTAAGACCCAGCAATGCTGGGAAATCATCGAGTAGCTTGGTCCAGCTGTATCACCCTTGCTAAGAATGTGGAACAGAGAGAACAAATCAAAAATGCTAAACAATGAAGTCTTCTGTAGTCCATCTGCTTCAAGTTAAATAAAATACTGTAAGGAAACCTAAATTCTCCGTTTGTTTCAAAAGGAGGCAGATGTATATGCTGTTCTGTGTAAGATACATGTTTCAAATAATTGATACAAAAAATATACTCAGAAAGACAAAATGAGTCCTGACCTCAGATTCAACTCTCTTTTACTGCCAAGGGCTGAAGGTAGGTTCACACACCTATGCAAAATGTGTGTCTATTCTGTATGCATTCCACACAACCCAATCAAGAAGAAAATGTTCTTGAAGAGGCAATTCCTGCAGTGAAAACCCAATGTGCCAGGTCCAGTCAAATGGATGCTGTGTGTCAAAAACAAGTCAGATGACTGTTTTGTGAACAAAAGAATAACCAGCACACAGAAGTGTACCAGAAATTATGATATGCAACTGCTGGTGCTCCTGACAGTCAGGGAAGACAAGGCCCATACGTCACAAGGGATACAGCTCCACAGTTTGCCCTTACCTTTAAATTAAAATAAAACTAGGAAAATAAAGTAAGTTAAAATTGAAAAATAGAGGCAAGAATGGTGAACAAGAGATTTCAGGGAAGATCTAGATGCAAAAAAGGAAAAGGAAGTGTGATATCTGAAATACACATCTGATTATCTACCAACATCTTACAGTACATCTTGCATGCTTTCGTTGTGGGGAATATTTTGCTGTTGGTCACAATGTATTCAAACAAGTAACATAATTTTACATCTCCCAACCTCTAGCAAGCAGTCTTTCCTGAACTGTGAATAATGAAGGCATTATTGCAAAACTGCATCTGTCGTCATGGAAAAGCAGCATCACTGAGAACATAATTATCATCACCAGGCTACCGCTTAGCCAGAAGCAGCACATCTAAACAAAAATCTATAACTTTAGAAGCTCATGAAACTATTAGGATTTTCTGTCCCACTCAACACCATCACCTGACATGTCAGCAATTAGCTGGCTAAATTAGCACTTGCTAAAACACAGAAGTTAAACTTAAACTGAATCAAAACCAGACAAATTCTGAATGCAGACATACACTTGTATTGCCTTTGGTATGTTCCTATGTTTTAGTTCACCTCTCAAAATCAATACAGAAGACAGACTTAAAATGATGTAAGCTCTACACCTGGTCAGTAAACATCAGCTTTTCTAGATCACATTTTAGGAGCTGGACATATAAACCAAGGTTTTCTCCAAAACTCTGTTAATGCAAGTCATTACACAGCCTACCCTTTGCTCAGTCTCTGGACTGAGCTATAGATTGCAACACAGTGCCTAAAGAGCTCAGGACTTGTGACCAACTGCCAGAGAGCATTAGGGATGACATCTGACAGACCATTCCTCCTCCCACACCAATATTAAAAGCAGCTGAATTTGTTCTGCTTCAGTTCACAAATATTCATGATGCACATTTGCTAGCTCGTAAGTAATGAACTATCTCTTGGGAAGTGCTGAATCATGGTTTTTTGTCATCCTTGAGCAATTCAGCTGCCATATCTCTCAGAAAGAGAGCATCTGGTTTGTCAAGAAGAGCATTCCAAGTTTAGAGACACAGATGAAGTCCTCCTAATTCAGAACACACATAGCTCATCACTGTTAACGCTCTGCCTTCTGTCGCTCTCTGACTACTGGATTTTTGCTGTCCAGATTATGTGTTTCAAAAGTTACCCTTTATTACCCAGTGACCACTATCAAAGCCTCCCATGTGTGTGAGTGAGCATGTTTTGTGACACAGAGGCATTGCCAGCAGAGCAGCTCCCCTCTTGGTTATGAATAAAATACCTTCATTGCCATGAGTTCCTGCATCAAGACTGCATTTTCCAGGTCCAGTCTCTGGTTGTCTCCACGTGGCTTAACATCATAACTAAGGGGATCAATGTGGATGCTTTCCAGCTCCAGCATTGTCAGTTTCACTGCTGCCCTGTCATTTTTCAGCTGCTGGATGTAATCCTTCAGCCGCTGCTCATCTTCCTTTGTAAACTCTGTGTCACAACTGCTTGCTGTTGAGCTGGTAGTACTGGAAAGAGAAAGAATGGCATTAGAAAAAAATATATTTGAAACAAAATCTTAATTTTTACATCAAACACACTCCCAATACTTCATCAACGCATCTGAGTCTTACTTAAAAGCTCACAGAAAGGACAGAGATGTAGCATGGACACTGCAATGTGAGGTGACAAAATTCAGAAAAACATTAATTCCCTAAGCTGCACAAGAAAATTGAGTCATGTGACAACCTCTCTGCAAAGCCAGATATTTACTGATGTCTAACCGAATTACTTTATCTGAAATGGTGTCTTCTGGAAAAAAGTGGTGGATTTTTTTTATTAAAGAAGAAAAAAAAAAAAAAAGCTGTTTAAGACTTCTTAGCAGTAACAGCACAGCAAGCTGCTCAGACGCTGAGTCTTCATCATCTTTGAGAAGAAGCATCTGCTAAAAAAATAGAATGAACCCAGACTTCATCTATCTCTGCTGATGACCATACCAGTTACCACCTCAGATATTTTAATGGATACTTTTAGAAATCAATCTAATGAAAAATCCACTGGCAGATGCCAGGAGAACTTTCAGTTCATGTGAAGGTGTACTCCTCAGCATTCCTTCAGGGCTAGAGTGATTTAAAACTAACCAATGGAGTAACAGGAATTCTAATAAAAAGTCATCATGAAAGACTTGGTGTATCTTCTGAACAAATGAGGGCCCATTACTCTGCCCTGTAAGTGTTTATACAGAGATTGCAGAAAGGGGTAATAATGTCATTAGAGCAATGGGGGCTGAGTGCTGCCTACCCACTTCCATGCATACCAGTGCTGCAGGGGGCCCAGACTGACACAGCTGTAGCATTCCAGGGCTGAATATAGTTGCAATAACACTAAAAGGAAAATAAAATGCCATGTTGTTTCTATAGCCTCACTCAAAGCTCCCTGCTGTCTCCTGAGGTCCTGTAATCAGCTGCTGGGTGAGGGATAAGTCATCCATTAACTGTGCCTGTTTGGAATGCTAGATGATCTCAGTTATCAGCAGGGGAATAAATCACTTTCTGTATCAAATTGCACTGCTGTTCAACATTTTTGTACTAAGGAAAAAGTCCTACCCGCTAGATGGTGTGAGAACCAGGATGACGTCCTGAAATATTATGCATGTGCAAAGGGGAAGCCTATCAAGATAGGCTTCATTTTTCTCTTTCCTCTGGTTCTACTTCAGCTAAAGCTACACTGATTTTAAAGTGCTTCAAATAATTGCCCATCTTCCCACAAATTCCAAACACAGCCTTGGAGAAGATAGTGAATCGGCAGGTCTAACAAGATTTCTCAAAATCCTTCCCCCTTGTGATATATCGTATTACAGCTCTTTACTACAGTTCTATGCTAATTTCACATTATTCCCTCCTTTTCTGAGGGTGCCTGCTATAGTCAACACAACTAGCCTTTACTTTTTGTAAATTGGCCTTTGCTTTTGTTTTCATCCATTTCCTTCTCCAGTGGGGCTTAAGAACACTCAGTACCCAGATACATAGAAACCCTTCCAGGCTGAAACAAATTTTTGTTCATACTATTTCTTGATTAGAAAATTATGAAACACTTACTAAATCCTGCTTTACTGAGCCTAAAGGCATCTTCATGAATTAGATATATTAAAAAAATGAGGACAGACAATGTGAAAAGTACTTTATTCTGTACTGAAGTCATGTTGTAAGTTTCTTCCTCAGCACCCAAAGACTGCAATTGCAGAGCTTTTCTGGATTAAATGTAAAACAGCTGTTGTTGGAGGAAGGATAGCTTTATAAGTCTTGGGGCACAAAGGCCTCATCTCAGCTTTTGCTTGAAAAGGAAAGAAAACCCAGCCTTCCTGCTGCAAATGAAACCTGAGCAAAAAAATGCTGAAAGTTTATTGTTATGCTGAGCTGGACCTCATACTCCATGCATATTCACAGATTTTGGCCCATGAAGACCCACAGCTATGCACATATATGTTAGGGGAATAGAGCCCAAACTGAGGAAGGCAGTCTGGGCTGTTGCCAGTGATACTCAGGCTGCTTTTACTTCAGTCCTGGCTGCCTGCCTGCCTGTCTGCAGCTGAGTTGGCTCCTCTGGTGAATTGCTAGCAAGCTGCTCTTCTTCTTCTAGAGTGTTTTTTTGGTTTTTTTTTTCAGATGTTGGAGGAAGCTCAGCAAGGAGAGGACAAGAACCTTCACCACCCCCTGCATTTAGCAGTACATCCCCACCCAAAAGACTGGAAGCAGCTGGGGTAGAAGGGACAGAAACAGCACTGCAGTGTTTCTGATCTCCCCAGCAACTCTGCCAGGGTGTGCTGCCCCAAAAACCTCACCAGACAGCTCTCCACAGCCACAGTGCTGGTCCACTACTGCTCCCTTCAAGGGATGACAGCTGCTGAGCACTTCATCCTGAACTTCTTATATTGCCCTCCCTTCTGAACAGTAATCAGGACAAAGGAAAACATTTACAGTATAATGCATCCATCCAAAAACCACAGGAAACTCTTGCAAAAGATGTGCATTTCCTTATTTCTCAAGTGTTTAGGTAAGCACAGAGAAAGGATCATAGTTTCATCACAGCTGGAGGGAATACAACATCAATCTGCCCATTCCCATGGATGCTGTAAGACAGTAAGAAATATTCTTCACACTTGTTTCATTCCTTGAGTCTTTTATGATGATGTCATGCCTGGGTGATGTCAGACTAATTTTCATATACAATTTTTGGAAAACATATGGACAGGTACAGTGTAATGTCAGTCTTATTTGCTAGCATGAGTGTATGTGTATAAAATTCAGTGGATGGACATAGAAGAGACCTTCAGCAGTGCTTCTCTGTGAGTAGTTTCTGCACATTACAAAAATTTATCCATAAAACTCTACATGAGCATCATTTTATCTGTTAAAAATCAAGTCAATAAATTAATACAACTGCAATTAAGCAATGGTGTTGATAATACAGTTGGTAGAACTGAGATTAACACTGTCAGAACTAAATACAGAAACTTGCTTGAATACCTGCACAGAACCTAATACTTTAAAGAATGCAGTTGATCCACAGTGCACTTAGCCCAAACACCTTATTTCAAGCTGAACATTGTGGTTTGAGACCTGGGACAGCACAATGCCAGTTTCTCTTCCTGAGAAACTGAAAAATACCCCAATCAGGCAAAGGACAAACAACAGCTAATACCAGAGCCTTTGGTAAACTGCCCTGCTTCCTTCTGAGACTGCTTCAGTCCAGCCACAAAGTGTTACGCAGATAACACTGACATATCTATTTAAACATTTCCAAATAACTTATTTGCACACCTCAGCCAAGATAATCTTGTCTGTCACCAACTTATCTGAAACCTGAGATGGTTCTGATGACAGATATATTCCTACCATTGACTGAGTTCAGATATTTTGTGACACTGCATAATACTGAAAAGAGTTGCCTTTGCCTGTAAGGGACCCAATCTGTCCTCCGGTGAACCCAGATGTAAGGCTGGGCTTACTAGCACAGAAGGGAATAAAACACACCATTTTCAGACAGTGTTAAAAGCGGGCTTCTTCCCTTTTTTTGCCTTCCAAAGGTGCAATCAGTCTAACGTCATTGGCAGCGTATGTTCTATACTTAGCTTCTGTCCATTTAAAATAATTATGACTTCCAACTACATTGCAAACCAATTTCTATTTTCAAAAACTGAATTGGCAACATTGTGGTGCTGCTGCCAGTCAAATGAATTTAGATGCTCTTTCATTGCCATTCATTTATTTTCATTTCAATTGATCCCTTTTACAGTGTTTAACCACTCATCACTAGTGGCTCACCAAGCACTTAATTTCAGTAACGTGTTCAGTGATTTGATTCAGAATCTCATCTGAAATTTCAAAGCCCAAGATGGGTCAACAATTCCACTGTAAATCCATATTCTACAGGATTTCAAACAACAGGGAGAATCAGTCATTTGTCACAAGTCTCAACAAAGGATAGTTTTCATCTTCCTACTACCACTTTATTCATTTAGTTTCAAAGGGAAAAGGCAGCAATATGTATCTGCAACTAAAAGCCTGCAACACTGGAACATCGAAGGCAAGAAAAATCTGTTTTGCAGATTCAAAGTATGTTTCAATTGAATACTGTAAAAATATTTTCACAGTGGTCCCCAGGTGGGGGGGTGGTTCACATAGAACTCACTAGAGGTGAGAGGAGATAACCTTAAATTGTGCTAGAGGAGGTTCAGATTAGATACTAGTAAAAAATTTTCACTGACAGAATGGTCAGGCATGGAATAAATTGCTCATAGAGGCAGTGGAGTCACCACCCCTGGAAGTGTTCAAGAGCTATCTGGATGTGGCACTTGGGAATAAGGTTTAGGGGTTATGGTGGTGCTGGGGTGATGGTTGGACTGGATGACCTTGAAGGTATCTTCCAAACTTAATTTCTGTGGTTCTGTGATATAAAAAAGTGTGTGCCTTTTGAACCAAGACAGATTTTCCATGAATGGGGTAGCACTTTGTCTGTAAGCTGGAGACTCCTCTCTTTTGAGATAGGGTAGAAAAAATCTGAAAACACCTCTAACCACATGTCACTTGAATGCAACAGAAGGAAAGAAGAATTACATTTGCTGGAGAAGCTGAAGTTTCAAAAATATTTTCACTGATATGTATGCTTAGGCAAAGATAAACTACTTTGGGCATGGGGGAGGGGAGAGGGACAACAATCTGTAAGTAACAATCAGATCGGCATGCCACAAATTCCTGACTTGCTGTGTGCCCTCTGAGTGAGTAACAACAGCTTTTATCTCCTATGTTCCACATATATAAGAAGAAGTTGCAGAAGTTACCTCATTCAGCACAATATGTTGCTCCACACCAGAAAAAAATAATACAATGACAATAATGGCTCAAGCTAAAACACTTCTTTCATGTAAGAACACTAAATTTGCATTTTCATATTCATGACATAGCTTATCCTGAAGAAATTTTAAATCCTATGCCACTTGAAATATACTCCGCTGAAACTTTATCTACTGAGCCAACACCTCACACGGACACACACACAGGTCCAGCTGACCACCAATGAACACAGACACAAACACAGACTCTTATCCTCCCAAAAATTCTGCTAAAGCAAGCAAGAGCTGTAGAGATTACGTTCCTACCAAACACTTTCAGTGCAAGTCTAGGAAAGCAAACACTGAAACAGGAACAATCCCCCTCCCCCCCAGTTCTTCCCCATCAATACTGGAAACTGCCTGAACTGTTTCCAAGAAAAAAAAGTACTATGCCTTGACTACATGCCACATATCCCACAAGGAACAAAAACACTGAGGAAAAACTGAGAATTACCCTTTCAAACAGTAGAATGGGAAACGAGTTTGGCTTAGGTAGAGGTGTTACTACATGTAAACACAGACATGTTTGCATACAGGTGTAGATATGGCCTAAGACACAGCAAGCCCAGTGCTTGAAACAGCTTCATGTAATTTCTTCCCAAGCCTGGTTTAAATGCTTTTGGTAGAAAGTGTGATCAGTGTGCCACTAGCACAGATGCTGCCACAATCATTTCTATGTAAAGACACAGCTTTCTTGCACTGAGAGTGCACCAGAAATCTTCTGAGTAAAATAACATTAAAATTCACCTCACATTAGGACCCTGTTCCCTCAAATTACCTTTTTGTTCCCTTTTTAGCTATTCTATGCCAGTCATATGGCAGGAAATAAGATCCTTTGGAGGAGGCATCAGCAAGAAGAGGAAATGATACAGTACTAAAATAAACTTCTGAAGTGTCAAAAAAATGACAGCATTTGAATAAAGAACTGGCTAGAAAACTGAATTAAAATGAAGTTTTAGAGCAAATCTGAGAAACAAAAATAACATTTAAAGAGAAAAATGTTCATCTATATTTATCCAGGACACTTGCCAAATTTGTATCCATACACAAGCACACATATTTACTGCAGAGTACAATTACACCACAGGCAGGCAAAAACTCAAAATGAAGCTGCTGGCAGATATATTTGAACTAGAGCACTTCTGCAATAATAGCTCATCTATGTTTTATTATTTTATAGGTCTTCAGAAAAACTGCAGTATCCAGTCTTTCCTGGAAGAATCCAATCTATTCCATGGGAAGGAATAACATGGAGGGGTGCAAAGGGTAAGGAAGGAGAAGGGAGAGGAAATGGTTTAAAACAGAGGAAATGGTTTAAAATGGCTAGATTTGCAACATTTAGAAAACAATTACTGAGCACTCCAAAATGCCAGTGAAAGCCTGTTTCAGATCTCTGGTTCTCCGCACGTCCATGCTGTCTGCATACAATAGATGTGAGTAACAAGGACATGATTTGAGTTCCAATGAAACAGTAAGAAAGTCACTGTAGTAAAACAAACGTAATGGTTTTGCCCTTTAAGAGGAAGATCAAAGGTCTGAGTCACCCATTTGCAACAAATTTATAAAGAACTCTTCTTGGCTGGAGTTGCTCAAAGTCCAAAGACAATTAGACCACTGAGGCATGGTGACTTACAAATCAAAGCACAGAAGCCAAAGGAGTGAGGTGAGGGGAGGTAGCTCAGCAAATACAATAGAACATAACTTTTTGTCTGGAATCAAAGATTAGGAGATTAGGAGAACAGAAGAGCTGCAGTTACCTGGTGTGGCTGTTGGAGGACAGGCTTTCCCAGGGCTGCACACTACAGCCTGTGACTGCATAGGCTCCCCCACAGCTCCCATCCAGCTTCATCAGCAAGGCTTTTGCTGCATTCTCAGCTGTCTTCCTGCAGTCATGAGCCCTCTTAAGCATCTGTGTGACATTTTCATCACCTGTCTGGTCCCCTAGTTTACAAGCAAACAATGTTTCAGACAGGAATTAAGGCAAGAGATCCTTCTACTCACTCTCAGTTTATACAAGACAATGACAATTAATTACCAATCTGTGAACTAAAAGCTACTTCACTTCCTTGTCAGCATCAGTGGTAACTGGGATACTGGCCTGAATGCACCCTGCTCCCAGTGACAAGTTCCAGGTACTTGTGGCTCCAGGCAACATGTTTTAAGTGATGCAGAATTTTAGCTTGTCTGTTTATACTGGGTGTGCATTCTGCATTAACATAGGGTTTGGATGCTCAAATTATGAACACACTGGAAAAGCCTCAGCCTCAATTACAACTCTTACTCCAGTCAGTGCAGTGTGGTTTCATGGCATAGTCATCTCCGGAACTTCTCCTCACAGGCACCTTGATCTCAAGCCTGATGGTTTGCCAGAACACCTCCTTACAGGCTACCTGGCCAGACTGAAGAATTGCCCTGCCGCTGAGAAGCAGCCTCTCACATTTTACAGTCATGCATACTAAGCCAAAAGAGAAGTAGCCCTGGTTAAATTGCTATAATTTTTAGTGGTCATACAGCACCTGTGTAGCTGGTAAACTTCAGGAGAAGCAGGACTGAAGCCATCACTGTCACTACTCCTACAGTCTTCCAGCTGCATTGCAGTCAAATCATTAAATTAAGACATGTTATTGGCTACAAGAAAATCTATGAATGTATTTGTAGATTAAGCTGTAATATATTTATACTTTAGCAAAACTCAACAGCTTGCTCTGTGTTGGATTTTCATTTAATCATTTTTCAAGTCAATTACCTGCACTGCACACTTGCTGAGTTAAGTGCATGCACTAGAAGTAACATTAATGAGGAAGAAAGGAAGGGTGAATGTTCTGTTAAGAGAAGTTGGATATGCTCAGCTTTAAGTGATGTAACTCCCATGAATTTTCCACTCACAGATGTTGATATAAAGCTTGACTGATCTTCAAACCAAAAATCTGTTATTTTATCTAGGTGTGTTCATCAAATTTCATCATGAAGTAAAGGTACATAAACCATACACAACTTCCTCCATGCTGTGCTGTGTAATGGGAAATTTGCACTATTTCTATCTCATGGCTGTAACTGATAATACCATAATTAACAGCTGTAGACAGATAGCTACATAAAAATTTAATTACAGTCTCCTATAAAATGCACATCAGATGAAATCCTACTCAACCCCAAAGTACTTCTCCCTTGTAAGATTTCTTTCTACCACCTGCAGGAATAGAAAATCCAATGCTCAATTCACTTTTGCTGCACACTGATCTCTGCCAGATGGGAAAAGTTCCCTAGCACATTGTGGAAAGGAATGAACAGAGTTCGGAGAAAGGTGGAAGAAAATCTCAGACATCCCCTCTACTGAGAAGCCAGTGCTCCTAACAACCATGCACTTGCTATGCATCAGCACAGTATGAAGAGTTATTCTCTCTCTGAATGCTTCTTTCTACTTGAAGATTACCATGACTGCCTTCTCCTGTCAATTAAAGGAATGGAACTACTAATACTGGAATTTCATTGTGCAATCACCTCTTTCTATCAGAAGAATGGAGCCAGCAGAAATGCCAAGCTCCAAATTTCTGAACTGTACTGTACCTATGATAGTGGTTTGTTCCATTATTTAGCAGGCAGCATATTAAGAAACAACACCTAGCCACAGGATTAACTAACAAAATAAGAAAAATCCAGAACATACAGGCTAAACAGAAGATAGAATGTTTTAAAATTCTAGAGCAAAGGTAAAACAGGGGGTGAAAAATTACAGCCTTTAAAAATTTTTTTATTCGTAACTACTCAGTGTTACTTTGTATTATTTTAATCCCAGTTCTTCACAGATTAGACTGTTTCTGGGGAGTCAACCTTCGTGAATCTGCACTTGCAACTACCACAGGTGTATGGCCCTAAACCACCTGTGCTCACAAGTATTGTTTAATTATTCCACTCTGTATGGTTGCATCCCTACAACAATCTCACCCCTGCCAGAAGAGGCATCTCCTTGTGAAACCAACACAGGTGAATTTAAATTGCTCTCTTGCATTTTACCCCTATTTTTGGGGTGTATAAAATAATTTAAATAGTTAAAAACAAGAAATGACTGGAGAGCATTCTTAAGTAATGGGTGATGACATGATTCACCATTACAACCAATTCTAATGCCAACTGACATGCCAAAAAAACCCAGGTAAATTAAGTGATTCATTGACATCTTACCAACAGAACCAACACCTGCAGCTCTGAATTGTCCAAGAATGAGACTCTGCTCACTTTCTGCCAATGCCAACAGCAGCTCATATGCTTCTATGCACTGTTCACTGAAAGGAAATACAAAAACCACACAAAATGTTAACTGCAATTTAAAGAAGAACAATACCTGAAATAGCAACAACAGAAAAAGAGCTATCTGATTAACTGCATGATTCTCTACTACTTGTGTAGCAGCAGGGATATTAAAGAACATTATACACACAGCTTCTATCACGAGCATTCAGCAGCCTCCCCATTCTTATAACAGTGCCAGGCTGGCCTCAAGCAATGTAACAAGCCAAAAGATAAGAGTGACCCAAAATAAAGAAAGCTCCAGAAGCATGTTTTAAACAGGTGGTCAAGATCCCTTTGAGAAATTTTTCCCAGACCTTCTTAGTATACAACCTAAAGTATTCTATACAATACAAAGTGTTTCAAGTGGAAAAGATGCAAGAAAAATACTTTTTGCTCTGTCCTGGCTGTAAGATACCCCCCCCTTACAACAGAATAGCTTCCAATTATAATTATGAGTCAAATGTAATCCTTGTTGCATTTTAATGTTTTTAAAAATACATACTAATATCCCATTAGCAATTTAGACTTCATTGCAATTTGCTCAAGGCTGACAGTAAAATAATATATTCTTTAAAAGGCACACAATTTGTTCCAAGACCAAACCTGGCAGTCCCAAATTAGTTGCAGTTGAAGGTGTTAAGTCACACTGTATTTTTTTGAACAGCTTGATGCAAATTTAGATACTTACTACTAAAGACAAGCCATTAATCTACAATTCCAACTAATGCAATACAAAGTCATTCTGAGTTATGTGGAGTATAACACTCTCTGCTCCAGTGGTCTTGGGACAGGTATAGAGATCCTGTATCTTAAGGCTGGATTCAGCAACACAGACTCAGTCTACACACAATCCCTAATTCAAACATTAATTCAGTATTTAAGAATGAAGAGATAAACTTCTACATTCCTGTTAGATGCTGGTCAACTATAGTTGAAATACACTGTAGGAATAACTTCAGTTGGATAGTTTGTCAGGTAGTTTAACCAAAGGGGTGCTTTTTCAGGGAGAAAATAAAAAATGAACAGTATTACTATGGCAGACCATCAACTTCACTCTTAAACACTTCTACCAAGTCTCCCTCCAGCTCCCTCTTCGTGGCTGAGCCCCTTGTGTAGGTACATACCTGTACTGCAGTGCCAGCCTGAGGGCTGTGGCATTAGACTCGTACTTGCCCACAAGCATGCTCATCCTCTCTGCATTGCTCTTGCACTCTTCCAGTGTTATTGTCAGCAAGTCGTTCTGGGATTTCAGGTGCTCAATACGGCTGCAAAAAAACAAGCAATTTGCAACCTTCAAGCTTAACTTGCAGTCACTGTTCTGAAAATTCTAGGATAATCATACTTTGAAACAACAAAAATTTCTTAGTCTACACAACTGTTTTTTAATGAAGATGGAAAAATCCATCAGTTCTGTGTATCTTATCAAAAGCCAACAGGATAGAAATTTCTCTCAGGTCATCCTCTTCTCCTCCTCATAAAACGTAGTCATAACCCTGTGCAGCAGCAGCAAGCAGAAAGTTATACCCTTGTTTTGCAGCCACAAGACTGCATAAGACGGTTTCATATTAACCTTTTGCTCAATTTTTCTGCCTTCATTCCTCACTTTCTGCTGCCACATTTGCAACTTGTTTTAAATGGCATATTCATTAGTGTGATTGTGGGTGTGTGCAGGGATCATGCAGTTGCATAAATGCCTCCTTTCTTCTGAAAATCCAGAGTAACCATTCCATCTGAAGTCATGTTTGGGTTGTGATTAGAGAGCCAACTTCCAAACTACGAATGAGGTTTCACTGGGGCAATGTAACTTCCAAATGTTCTGGCAAAAGTCAAACAGAAGCTTAACTGTAATACCCTCCTCAATGAGGTTAACCCTGAAGATGAAAATGAAGATTTAGAGAATCAGTATTATTGTTTATTCTCTCTGCTGACAACTGAAGCATACATCAATATATTACACCTAACTGTAAAAACTGGATATATGCCAAAACCAGAAAGACAAACAATTTGAAACCTTGCACAGGTAGATAATGAAGAAATCCATGCCATCTAGGACTCTAAAATCACTGACTTCTTGACAAAGAAGACTGAGAAGGGCTAGAGTATATATGTTTGTCAGAACAAAGCCCTGACTTTTCTAGATGTTAGAACTACCACTTTCCATATCTTGACATCTTCTATAATGATACATGTTGTCAAAGCATAATTGTGCAGTGTACAGAAAAAAAGAAAGAAAAAAGAAAACAAGAATCACATTTTGCAGCACTACAAAAAATGAGCTATAAATAAAGAGATACTGTACTGATCAGACTAAATTTGAGCTAGCTGTAGGGAAGACAGAATTTCGATAGAGACATGCTGAGACACAATTCTCATACTCCTGATCCACAGCTTTGATTTTATGTGCCAAAAACAGTCACGAAACACTGGCTTTGATAGAGTTTGCTAAAGGATAACACCAGCAGTATTTTAACCGCAACCAGAAAGCTGCAATCTCTCTTCTGCAGACAGAAACCTATATGCCCCACCACCACGCATCAGTACATTTATTGAGACATTTAATTGCTATTATTCTGTTTCTTCAGGACAAAACAAAGCAAGCTAATTTCAGAATGATGCAGACTAAATTATGGGAGTCCTTATTTCAAGGAATAATGTGTGAAAAAAAGATGCCATGACTACTTGGTCAGCCACACAGAGGGACACTCCAGAGTGCAGACAGGGAAGGTACTGTGCTGATCTAATAATGCACAAACCCATAGTCATGGAAAGAATCCTTAGCACATGATTCAATCTCTTCTTCAGCAAGCACATTCCATGTTTATCTGCAGCTGTCACAGCTGAACTAAGAAATTATCAGAAAGGGTAAAAAAAAGAGTCAACTCTAATGAAGCTAACAGAAGACAACATGTGTGAGCACATCTAAATTTCTAGCTCACCTATTTAATCTCTCCGTTTCCACTTCAAACTCTCGGATTTTGCTTTCAGAGATAGCAGATCCATGTGAATAGAGAGTCTGGAAGATTTCCTGGATGTTTGAGCAGTCTTGGAGGGAATGTGCCAAATGTTCAGCCACAGAACTAGAGACCTGTACAGGGCAGTTAATAGATCATTATGAAGAGATACCCACTGGATTTCTCCCAGATACCTTCAGCATTGAGAACTGCATTTGCTTGCATGCACTCACTTCAATACATTCATTATTCAGGTTTTGTTATGAATTTTACATTGAATAGAACATTTACAAGATTCCACTTTTAGAAGCCATTTTGTTCTAAAATTCTATGAACCAAGGGTGAAGTCCACTATTTCATTATACATTTAAAAAGCCTACTATGCAAGTTATTTATGTTCTTGAGTGCTTAGCAAAGGGTTAGAGCCAAGTTCTTCAGTAAAAGAAATATTAACACACAGTAACAACAGCGTTATTGATTTACACTGGCATTTCAAAAGCAGATTCCAGTACACTGTTGAAGGTTGTGAAATGAAACTGAAGAGTCTTCCTGAAGAATATTTTGGTGGAACTGACTTCAAAATTTTCCTCTTGAATTCACTCATGAGAATGACTTCTAGCCACTTGTTTTCAGAAAATGAGATCTTAATACTGGGTGAAATATTCTTTGTTGATGTATTTTGCTCAAACTAGCTTTTAAAGTGTTTTCAGATAGTCCACATTAATAATTTTATTCAGAAAACAATGCTTTTATTGGAACATGGATCATGCAAGAACACAGTTCTTAGTCCTTACCCCTATGCTGCTGATTTCTGATCCTAAGACAGGTCTATCAGATGATGAAGACTCTGATCTTGTCTTTGACAACTTCACTCTTTCAGCAATCTGCAAGTCAGAATGCTGCACAGGTTACACAGCAGCCCACGCCCCATTAAGATCACACAAACCCCATCTATTCTGTAGTTATACTTGCAAAGCTGAAGCAAACTACTAGAGAACTGAGCCCCGAGTTGTAACTGGGAGAACTACAATCAATAATGTTTCATTCCTTTCCACGGCTCAAGTTCACAGACCTGCTCAGGACTCCCCTAAACATCTCCCAGTTAATCCCATGCTTGCAGAGCACGAAATGAAGCCTGCTTTTTCGAGGTCAGGAGAAGGGTTACAAACACACAAACCCCACCTTGGCGATGGGGATGTCGTTGCTGCTGCTGCTGGTGCTCAGCTCTCCTGTGCTGGGGTTGATGGGGCGGTTGGCAGGAGTAAGGCGGCTCGGGCTGGACGGGCCCGTGGCCTGCACACTCTGCAAGCGAGTCTGCAGCTCCCGAACCTGCAACAAAACATAACACTCTGATTTTTCCTCTTTTATGGTCTAAACAGTCTGGAGATTTTCTCATTGTCTAGCCAAGTCTAATTGCTTCTGGCTTCAGTACAGAAGTTACATTTTTGTACTGTGGTGGCTGCGAAGTTTTCACGTGGGGAGCAGATGAGTGGAGGTTATTTTTAAATCCCACTGCTATCAGTTTTTTAAAATATGTGCAATGTGGAAATATGCAGAATACTGTAGAATAAGTACTCAAAGTTTCAGCTATACTATAGGTATAGAAATTATTCTCTTTGGGGTAAAGCTAAAGCTCCAGCCTAAAATGATGACAGCTATACAAATCAAATTGTAATCCTCCTGTTAATGGAAAACTCCAGTGCTGAAAAAAACTCTTGACATAAATAAATCACATGATGACTTGGTCATATTTAAAGGTTAAAGAAATTCAAACATTAATCATGCTTTGAAACTACAGTCAACTAAAACTACCATTTAGTGAGTAATGTATAGACAAAAAAAAAAACAGTAAAGTACTCAACCAACAGTCTGCAAAAGCTCTCTGTAAGCATACCCTGCAAATACTGCATGGTCCTCATAACACACCTCTTGCAGAACTGATGTCAAAAGATTTTCAGTTTAAAGGTTAAAAAAAAAAAGAAAGGTCTGCAGGAGCCAAACTGTAGCTGTGCTAAAGATTAGAGTGTTTACCTTGGAATAATTCTTAACAGACAAGGAATAAATGGTCTGCTTAAGACAACAGTTATGACACAAGGTGAAGTGACAGAGCTCATTTTTCCCACAGATCTCAAACAGAGTGTGAGGTGGGAGAACGTGAAGGAAACCATCTAAAGAGGAAATTCCCCTGAACACAGTTGTCCTTCAATACACAGGTTTCTATGTGATTTTGTTGGAACAGTCCCTCTACAAAACTGAACTTGTGAAATTTTATCAGAAGTCCAGTCAAGTAAAGTTCAGCCCATTTGATATCTCCCCTTGTATGAAGCATGAAATGCAACTGTGATTCATACTGTCTAAAGAAAGGTAGGATTTTATACTAAATACATTTATGCAAAGACTAAGAAAGCTGAAATCTCTTAGTCAAAACCCCCAGAATTAAAGTTGCATCAAAGCTTAGACTTTCTTAGGTGTAGGTGCATCTGGACAGTGTTAATCAATCTCTGCTTGAAGCAGCAGTCATGTTCTCTGTACAACAGATGCTTCAACCTACTGCAGAGAGGAAAGAGTTCAAGTTGGAATGCTCTCCAGTCACCAAGGCAGTATTTTATGCCTCCTACAATCTTCAATAGCCTGCTCCTATTTCCTGAAGAGTATCCCTGCCTCTCCCCGCTCTGTTGTATGCAAACTGAAGGAAGAGTGCCTGCACACTTAGTGTCAAAAGAATTTTTAGGTAATTACAAATTACAAAAAAACAAAAAACAGTCTGTGTGCTTTACATAACATGGTATTTTTAAAACGCCATAGGTGGCAATAATAAAAACACATGAAGTCACACTGCACTTTTGAGTTCCCTGTTCAGTTGTGGACAAGCTCTACACCTTGAACAAAACAATTCTGAACAACTAAAGTACACAAAACCTCAAATCAAATCCCCCAATGTTAAAAGTAACATACTGAAAAATTATATGGGTGCTTGACCCAGAATTATGTATCATAAATGCAATTATCTCATGAAGTTAACTGAGCAGAGTGTATGAAAGGGACATCCATAGCACGTGTCTTCTACATATTTGCAGCTGAGGCCTTCTTTGTTCATACAAACATATTTAGCTTCAACACGGGTATAGCTGCAAACATGGGTATAATGCAAACCTTAAGGAAAAAAATGCTCTCTTGGTGCAAACCAATAATTTCAGCCTGCTGATATGCATAAACCTGAAATAAACCATGCATGCATATTTTTGGTTGCAGATGTGGAGCAAACAGTGCAGACAGGATTTGTACTTTGGCATTGACACTGAGAAAAAAAAAAACCAGCAACCCAAAAACTTCATTAAGTAATTGACATTTATTACTATTTCTTTCAACCCAGGCGGTTCCAAATTAAATTCTCCAAGAGCTGAAGTTACAGCACTGTTTAAAAGCAAACAAATAGGAAGACTGTTTGGATATATTCTTTATAAAATAAAACCACAGCCTCCATGTCCAGCTTAAAAATTGCTAAAATATTCACCTATTCTCAGAAGCCAGTCCTGTATCACACAAACCTTTAATGCAGATAGGTTTCCTTTATTCTGTGTTTTCTTACTGTGAAGTAACTATTGGCCAGGATTACAAAGCTAATTATTCATACAAATCTGTAAAACAACACTGGCAACAGAAGGAGAAATTATCACAGCTAATAGTGTAGTAAGGTAAAGCTTTGCTCAGGAAAGCACTTCTAGAAGAAAACTCAGAGCACAGCACAGTTATTAATCTGTGCAACTCACTGCCTTAATATTGTGACATAGAAGCAACCACGAAAAGAAGCTGCCTGCTTATCTGTCATTCTTGGTGTATTTACTAAGTCAGGCCTTCATTTATGAAATTACATGCTGAACTGACTGCTATAAATAACTGCACTAATTTTAGCAACACCAAGTACCAGATGCTAATTCTGAGCAGGATAACAGGGTGAGTTTGTCTTACTGGTAAAATCACACATCTCACAATTCACACATTCACCAAGCATCTCACAGCTGGGCTGCCCATCTACCACACTGCACAGAGACACATTAGGTAACTATTTCTGGTCACCAAAACCTGCATTTTAAATAGAGGAGTATGCAACATCTCTTCAGAAAGCACTTTTCCACACTGGTAGCTATTCTACAGAAAAAATAAAGAATTACCAAAGAAGGGAAAAAATACCCCAAACCCAAACCAGAGTTTGGTGAATGCACAGGTTATGAAAAGACTGGTTTTAAAAGCAGGATTAAAAATTGTCTGATTCCCTGTGTCAAGTCTTTAGCATCATAACCAATGTAATATAAATTACTTTGAAGATTAACACATAGAATGAAGGTAAACTGCAGTACTGCACATGAGACACAATAAACACTTGGAAATGGGAGAGAGAGGAAGGAAGGGAATATCTTACAGGAAATTGATGACAAAATTGGCAAAATGCAATGGGTAAAGACAAGTATAGAAACAAACCCAAAAAAGTTACATTTTAAGACAGAAATAGTGTGGATTTCTGAGTTTGGGAAGAGGAATAACCAGGAAGGATTTAAAGAAAAATTTCTTAAGTCCTCACATCACACTACTTTAAAAACAGAAATATGCAGAAGGGTATAAAAATTGCCATAAACTCCTGAAGCACTAAAATGAAGTGGAAATTGTCTGGCAAGCAGATCTTACTATGTGGTCAAAAAGAAAAAAAAATGAGTTGAGAATGAAGGGCAAAAGGAGAAATCCAGGGAAATGTCAGTGAAATCCAGAAAAAATATAGGGAAAGATCTTCCAAATGATTGAAGGAAGTCCAAGAAATTACAAAAGTAAAGAAGTGTTGGAACCCTGCAAAGAGCAGGTGCATTAAGTGAGACACAAAGCATCAGAACCATTAGGCTTCAGAGCAATGGACAGCCTAGATTCAAAAGAAAGGTCAGGTGTAAACAGATGTTCTCAAGTTATTAATATGAACAAAAGTAACTCGCAGTGTCACCTATTAATATTTGATGTTATGCAATTGAACCAACTGTTGAGCTGCATTTCTAATTTTTTTCCTTTGAATGCTGAGAATTGGAATAGGAAATACTGAAAAATTAAAGGTAATTTCTGACCACCTTAAGAACTAAATAAAAAGAAAGCAAGTAGAAGAGAAAAGGGGCAGACACACTATAGCAATGTTCAATTTATGAAAGACTTGATAAGCTATTAACAGGCATCACAGACATGTCTGCTCAAATGCATCATGGGCTACAGAAAAATATTTCATTGGAATATTCTCATTATTTGTAACCATGACTCTGAGAAGCATGTTTTTAGTCTTTTTATTTTGCACATGCATAGTGACAACTACATGATTCATTAACATATCCTAAATAAAACACCACGGCTCCGAACTGCCTGTTTCTGTCACTGATTTCCACATTCAAAGGACACCTGCTGCCTTTGTTTCTAAACCTGTTTCAAATGAGAGATATGCCTGTGATTCTTTTCCTTCTACCCTACTTGTGACCTGTTTCATCATACAGTACCTTTGAACCCTTCAAGTAACAGCTCTTTTCCCCCTCAGCATTTTAATGCTGCTTCATTTCCTTTCCCCTGTTACACAGAGGAGGAAGACGAAGTACAACAAACTACAAGGAGTGAACTTCTCCTACTTTCTAATTTATTCATGCATACTGCAGATCTGTGGAGGAGAAGATGCCAAATGAAACACCAGTGTAACAATCTGAGCTGCTCTGAAGGTTTTTTTCCAGCCAAAAAAATGCCTTGCCTTTCATTTAGTCCTAGTGTTGATCATTTTCAGCCAGATAATTTTCTGCCTTTCCTATATCATGAGCACCAGAGTAAACAAAGTTTGCTGAGCTCCTATGTACTGTCTTTTGGGATCAACTGAGTATGGTAAAGAAATCTTTCCTTGTATCTATAAGGTGAATTAAACACTGAGTATTTGCATGTAAGTTTGGAATCAGAACTAAAACTCTACTTTGTTGACACCCAAGAGGAGATACTGCTGCATAAGCAAATACCACGCTAGTGAAGGATACAGAGAATGGAAATAGCTTTGGGCTGCTACCTCAGGTTTCTGGTGCTCACCAAGAGACAAAGCAGACAGAATAGCTCCAGGGTCACTATAAGCTGTGCAAGCAGATAATAATCTCTAAGGGCCCATAATGTATCAGTGATGCATCAGTAATGCAATCAGTAATGCAATCTGGAACAATACCTTCTGATCCCAACAGGAATGACTACAAAACAGAGTCCAGCAGATCCTGCCAGCTTTGTGTCATCTGAGAACAGTGTGGGCCCAAGAACACCTGCAATGCCAAGGATCAGAGTCCTGCTGTGGCATGGGTAGGTTTCAACTGTTCACAAGAACCACATATTTTAGGAGAGCCCTCTGCTCAAATCAAAGTTCTCTGGAGTGGGGAATGTGGGCAGCTGATAGCATCACACATAAAATGCTAATTTTCTACTACTCCACAGACTATGTTTTCATTAGGGTCTTAGCTGAAGACAGCTAATGAAGTCGTTTTGTTCTGGTCAGTTTGGTGATTTCAGCTGAGTTTGGAGAAGGTACAGAAAAACCTTCACAACCAGAAGCATGGGATTAACTGAACAAGCTGACATATGGCTCATGCAGAACAGATTTAACAGACTTCCAGAGCTGGAACTGCCTTTTCATTTCAGACTTAGTTCTTCAGAACACCCTCAGGGAAGCCTGAATGCTGCCCACACCCACTGCCTTTTATGCCAAACAACTCCTTAAGACTGTGCTGAGGTACCACTCATCTGACAACTTCTATGGTCAGTAATTAAAACCCACAATTTTTACTTTACCGTCAGGATGGAGTTTATATGCTGTTTCACTGCTGCTCATCTGAATCCCCTGCTGAATACAAGGACTTTTGTGTAAGAACAGAAATATTACTTTTTCTTCTACTACTTAAGCCTGTTACTCTGTGTAGCAGTTGTAAATAGTGCTGACCTGATTACAGCCTTATTCTCATGTAATAATAACCATCCCACTGACTGGTACAGAAGTTCCCCACCATCTTATCTGTATTACTGGATAATTCAGGATTATGGTCAGCAATGTGTAAGCAGTTTCTAGGGCACTGACCAGCCTGGATCTAAATGGATTTTATTTTTAATGCAGCAAAATAATGCAGAGGTAAAATAAACCTCTGCATTATGAAATTAGCTGTTACACTGAGACAACCTACAGAAGTAAGCATTTACCTCACTCGCTAATGACCTGTGAGAAACAAACTCTGAATGTATGTTGTTTCTTAGCTCCTGTTCCAGAGAGCAGCTCAATCTGTTAACTGAGCTCAGTAAATTAAATTAAATCTCCAACAAGCCTGAGAAAAATGTATTGAAAGCACTCTGCTTGATTGCACACATTGGTCTGAAGGAACAGACCTATTGATCTGGTCAACTTCAAGCTTGTTCACTTCACCCAATTTAATTTGAGAAGGACAATAACTAAATTTTAGTTTAGATCTCCTTTCCCACTCTCCAGGGAAATAATTTGAAGTGACTTTTGAGTTCAGGTGGCACATAGAAAATATTTCATAGGTCAAAGAAAACATTTATTTTGTTGCCACTATGGACATGAAGCTACATTAAAAATGCAAATATGGTCTCCAGTGCAACAATTACATAGTGTGCAGACAGGGTCATATGTCACAAACTAACTTCTCTGGTGGGGGTAATAAATCAGTTGTTCTGCATGAAAAGGATGATATTAATTACCATATTTCAGTAAAGTCCTCTGAAGTTACAAACAACTGAAACAAGCTGATGACCTTAATTCTGCTTCCATCAGAGATACCTCCATAATAGAGAACTGGAACTGCTGGCAGCCAGACAAAACATAGCAGAATTGTGAAAAGATGCTAAGGCTGGCTCTAGAATTAATGCAGCTGTGTTAACTTGGCTTTTTCTGCTTTCCTTTGGATACAATCCTAATGAAATGATCCTGGTTTTAACAGTTATCCTTGCATAGTCATGCATTTCATTATACAAAGATAACTTTAATATTTTAAAGTTCCATTTAGAAAGTAGTACTCCTTACTGTTTCTTCAGAACCACAATCATCCTGTGTCTTGGACACCACAGAGTCCAACTTATGGCCTCATACAGCTATAAGTGTTTTGTGTTATTCTGTTCTTGCTCCAGTTTTGTCCCTGAGTTTAGAGAGCCGTTGCTCCCATTTTTATTTTCTTTCTCTAGCATTTGTAAAGAGAAAACAAATTAGGAATTTGTTTTGCCATGCTGAACAGGACAAGTCCCTACTCTACAGACAACGACCATTTCTTTGACCATTGTCTACATCATTTTCTGCCAATTTAAACTGCACTTTTAAGAGATAAAAATGACATATAACATTCCAAATCAGATCTCACCATTTTTTATACAGTTTTTCCAAGCCCTACTGAAAATAACTTCTCTGGTACCTCAGAGGACTCAATTTGCTACTATGGCTCAGCCATGCTGATACCTGAGGGTACTACACCAATTCCTTCCCCTTTTCTGTTTCTCAACTGAGGAGCTCCTGGATGTCAGCATTAATTCTTGTTACCATTCTTTTAAGCCCTTTAACTTGCATGCCGTACTTCTCAAAACAGAAATCTTTTTGTATACTCAAGCCACTTATCTTTCTCTTGTTTGATATCTCAGTATTGATCTGGGTCACCTGGAGTGTCAATAATTGCATTTGTGTAAGCAAATTTCTCAAGCACACACTTCAACTCTCAGCCTGATTGTGTTGATGTCCACCCCCTCAGTTTGGCAAGAACCCAGCCAGTCCATAAATGCAACTTCTGTAGCTCAAAGGGTAGTACTGCCTCCACTAAAAAAAATTGTCATTATCAGTTCAAAAATTTCAGGACTGAAAACAACCCATGGTATGTAGTAAGACAAAAATTCACAAAGGAAAAGTTGAAGTGATCTTGCTTTATATGATATGAGATTACTATTCTTGCCTCATCACACATGCCTTTTTAGTGTTAGGAGAGGACAGGGAGTTTTGAAAAGGTAATTTGAGTCTTCATACCTGAAGATTGCAAATCTCACATGATGTAGGCTCATGCTATAATGGCACAGTCACTGCAGAGCAATATTAGTTTAGAACAGCAAAAAAAGCTAATCTGGTGCCAACTGGTAAAGAGTAATACTCGCAATAGTTTACCATGATATGGTGGTCTGAATTGTCATTTAGACTGAACACAAACTTGAAACTGCCTGTTTTAAAAATAAAAGAACTTCTACCTAAACAAAACTCCGCAAATTTACCAGGTACAAAGTTAACGAATTTTAAAAGTAACTAAGATTGAGGTCACATTCTCTTGGATCTTTCATATTTTTTGTGAAGAATCTTCCCCCCCTTTTTTTTTCTCACTTTGGACTCCACACAAAGCACAAAGCCTTCATCTGACCTTAAAGTATCATAAAATGTAGACAGGGAAGCAGGACTTGGCTGGAACTACTCATTGTTCAGTATGAGAATTACTGCCCACTGACAGGAGTCCTGCTCTTTTTCTTTCTCCTAATCACAAATTGAATTTCCATCAAAAACAAAGAAATATTTGTTGTTTACAGGAAAAAATAGCCTCACAGGAAAATTCACAAGATGAACATCTGCTTTCTCTATATCCAAGTTACGTATGCTTCCTTTAAGATGAGTATCAGTTTTTCTAATTTCTGAAATCAGGCTGTTGTGCATGCTGGCTGTTTTTCACAAACTCTTTTTCAATTATGTTCAGTTCTGTCCTAGTTTTGTCATTTGTACAGCCCAGCTTTGAAAGCAAAAAGCCCTCCAACCAGCACAGGAAGTGAGATTAAAGATAGGCCTGTTCTGGTGACAAAACCACACAGGTTGGAGGAAGAAGAAGGCGTCATCTGTACAGCAGCCTTACCCTTCTACGCAGCCTGTCCCTCTCCTCACGGACAGCGTTCATGGTGGCCTTGGTCCTGTTGAGCTCCTCCTCTTTGCTGCACAACATGGCTGTGAGGCTCTCATTCTCTTCCCGCAGGCCAGCCAGCTCCTTCTCCCACCGAGACCTCTCCTCAGAAAGGTTTGGATAAAGGTCACGTCCCAGCACTCCCTCAATCTCCTCCACAGTCTGCAAAAACACAGTCATTAACAAACAGAAAGGGCCAAAGACAACTGAGCAGGATTAATGGGCAGATTGAACAGAAATATGTGTTAACAGGCAACTCTACACCTCATACATACACCCCCAGCCTCTCAACACCATTAGTTTGCTTCTTTTGTTTGCTAAGTAATATCAAACCAAATTATTAGTTATTTTCTTTGACAGTTTGACCATTTCATTAAAGCATTTCATACTGACAAACACCAAAGCAGATAAATACATGCAAATACAACATGTCACCTGTGAATGACAGCAATCCTGGTAGTTTAATCTCAGAATACTTTAGAACAAATCAATAACTCCTTGTCATGGGTGAGCACTGTACTAATTGTTTCCCTGCTGAGTAACAGGCAGAAATGAGCAGCCAGTGAATGTGCATGGCATAGGGCCTTATTTATTGCTAGACTAATGTCACAAAAGGGCAATAAAAAGAGTGGGAGAGGATTGAAAGAGGGTTCTTCTTTCCCATGTCCCTGAGTATGTTCCTTCCTTGAGGTGACAGCAGAATAAAAGAACAACTCTGGCCTTGACTAGTCTTACAGGGGATGTTACAGCCTTTCTACTATCTAAAAAAAGCTGGGTTTCTCTGGGACACAATGGTATCCAGCACTTCCTGTCCCACCTCTGTCCTCAGAGCTGTGTAGACACTGCTCAGTTCAAGGGAGATTTCACGAGCCATGAGCTTCCAGTGGGGAAAACTGAACTACGAGCACCCACCACCAGCAAGGGAATACTGCCATGACTGAACTGACTGTCGGGCTGCCCACTAACATGCTGAAACACAGCATAACAGTGTATGCTGTGCCTATGCTCCATGTCTAACTATGGAAGATATCTGCAACCAGCAAAACCACTCCAAATGTTGTCCATAAGCTTTTAATCTCCCTGAAAACAGTGTGCATTGAAATGATGGGAAGAAACATGGAAAATAAAAGAATATATGACATCACTGGTAATGCAGAAAGTTTCATTTAATTGGCTAATCCAAAAACAAGTTATAGCTAAAGCCTATACTTTTACATCTAATATAGAAGATAACTGATGCACCAAGGTTAACAATAATCTATTTAGTTGCTTTATTCAAAAGAACATTTATATTCTGATCTGTCCCTTCCAATTCAGCATATTCTAGGAATCTATGATTCTATATATTACTGAATAATTACTGCTTTGTTTACTTCTTCAAATTGGGAGGGACCAAAATAACCAACTAGACTACAGCTGAAGATAATAAGCCTAGCTGGAGACACTTTTTTTTTTCCTGCAATAAATCTTACCAGTGTTTTCAGCATTGTCTGACTTTGAGGTATCAATGAAATTTTTTATTATTTGTTCGGTTTATCTTTTTGAATTGTATTTCATGTCTCTCTTACATAAAAGTGCAATACATTTTAGAGCCACAATTATGAAACTCTATTGACAGAGTATCAGAGTATCTACACTGTAATTCTGCTTACAGATTTGGCAGGAAATTGAAATTACTTTTCTGAAAAAGCAAAGGCTTGCAACATCCCTGTGAGGTGAAAGAAGCCGCAAGTCTCCCTTGTATTAGCTTCACTTGGACCCACAGGTCTCAAATTATAACCAGGTAAATTATTTCAACAGAGCATGAGGATGAGTTCAAGATCTGAATAAGCACAGGGTGGTTAATCTCACAATGTAAAGAGAAGCTCTGTAATGGCAGGAGCATCCTCTTTTGATGATGCCAGCTTTATTTAAACAGTGCCTCTCTGTTGCTGATTTGTCCTCTCCCTTCTTCCCCCACCCCACCCTTGCAGTTCCCCTGATGTTTTCTCACCTCTCTAACGGGTAGTTCTGCTGCTGACTCCTTCCTCCCCATTCCCCATGCTCCAGTGTTGCTATTTTCCCAACCCCCTCCCCCCCTTCCTAGACCACTGCTTCTCTCTGGTATCCAATATGCTACCAACCGTCCTCCATGGAAAGTAAAACATAAACACTCCACACAGATATAGCTATGTAAAATAATGCTGATTAGTTTTCTTCAAAGCAGCATTACAAAGCAGTTTTATCTGGTGTGCTGCTGCACAGCAGACAATTCAGGTATAATTTCACGGAGTATGGGATTGAATTACAATGTCATGTTCTGAGCAAAGGGCAGCAGGATGTCATATCATGGTAATTCCAGTCTTGTTGCAGCCACTGCCATCAGTGCTCTCTGCCTTATTTTCTTTACAAGAAGTGTTGTGTTACAGATGAGATATCAGATTAAATCAGCAAGTATCAGGTTTAAAAGACACTAAAGCAGTACTTCTTCCCATGGTGTAACTCAATGGCAGAATTTATTCCTAACAGAATTTATGTAGGCCAAGAATTTAGACAGGTCCAAAACCACAGCAGATAGAAAGAAAGAAGAAGATTTCACCCATTACAATTAAACACAAAGACATCATCTTTGGTTCAAGTTCCTACAGACAAACTTTGCTGGAAGCATCTCTGAAGGAAGGAGAACAACATACTATGCATGTAATTTTTGATGCTGTCTTTCCATTAGCATCTGCCACTAGGTAGTCCATATGGACTTTTGGTCCAACCCAGTACAGCTGTTCTCACATTCTAAATGTTTCATGCTTGGAAATATGTACAGCTTTTTCAATCAGCAAAATTTTAGTGGTTAGGTATCTGTTACTGATGTGATCTCCAAAATAAACAAAGCATTAACCAGACTATTCTGTGGAAATTTTCTTAAATCCTTTTCTTAAAGTATGCTTTTGTAACTGATAAGTGAGTAAGACAATCTGATAAATTTAATTTCAAGGTCTTTTCAGTTTCTGTGGGGCAGAAACAATTGAGACAGCTAGGGTGACATAGTTTGTATAAAAGAAGCAAAAAGTAATTCAGCAGCAACTGCAATAAAAGGAACCCAGTGAAATTTAACCACCAAAGCTAAAGGATTTAAAACATTTAAATGCATTAGTCTGTTGGTGAAGAAAAAAGCCAATAGCCAAGGCAAAAGGTAGTCAGAACACTTCAGGTTTCCATTCACAATTCCACCCACTTTAAAATTCTCTCCATTTTTTTCTCTGAGGAAACAGGAAAGCAGAAATGACCTGCAGCCAGGGGTGCAATGGTGGAGAGGGGCTTTTATGTATGGGTTTTGATCTGTTAAACACATCTCACTTCAGATACCTCTGTGGGCCTCACACAGGCTGATCTCTACCTATTTCCCAGAATCCACAGTCTCTCTTTTGGTAAATAGTGACCTCTGAAAACAGTTCATCCTACAACTCCAAAAAGTACTTGGCAACATTCAAAGTACTGATCCTAATCCTCTGAGACACTCAAATAAACTGCTTTAATACTGATCCCAAGAGACCAGAAGTCAAATATACACACATTCTTCAAATTACTACTCAACATTAATTGCTTTATGTTTTGTTATATTTCTCAGGCACCACCAGGGAGAGAAGGAACTTTTCTCAGCAGTACTACAAAGGGCTGTCAAAGCCATCTAGAATAGTCAGAGACTTCTTCACTGCAAGACGAAGCTGTCAGTACAATTTTTCTTGTATAAATGAGTCACTGACACCTTTCCACCTGACACAAAAAGCTTGTTCATGTCTTCCCCTGTGTATAGGAAGATTCTCTGTGGCTCTCTTGCTTTCAGGTTCTGAACTGCAGTGCCTTTTGTTACATGTGCCAGCAAACATCCATGTCCTTGTTCGGTTACATTCACAACATACAGCTATCACTTGAATTATTTGTTCCTGAGACTGATTTATCCCATTTGAACTAATGCACAACCAATGCTCAGTGGTAAATTACCTTTTGCTGTGCTCTGGGGAATGGTGTTCCCCAATTTAGTGATCCCACTGAAACAACTCCAAACTACACCCCTGTTCATTCACTTCCCAGACTCCAGTGGAGGGATAGAAAGGGACATCAGAGGCACAAAAGGCAAAGATCAGGGGTTGAGATAAGAACTATTTACTGGAAACAGCAATGAGGTAAGAAAATGAACAGTAAGAGCAAATATACTAATAAGGGACTGTACAAGAAATGGGCAGTTTGCACATGAGCTCTCACCCCCAAGAATACATGACCAGGAAGGGACCCCTTCCCCTCTTTCCTGGAAAATGAGGGATATAGGATAACATGGCCATGCCCCCTCCTGGCTGCAAAAATTAGCCCAGTACTGGCTGGAATCAGCACAGCTTTACATTTTAAGGCAGCCAATCACAACTTAGCCAACCACAAACATACACAGTGTGTTTTCAGTCACTGGTCAATGATTACCTGTAGGACCTTGGGCAGGTGACAGCTTGTTTGCTGAATAAGAAAAATTGCTTAAGAAAGTAAATTAACTGTTGAGTATCCTCATTTCTCTTATCGTTGAAATGAGCATAGGACAAATACATTTCTGATTTGAGGTCCAAAGTAGCTCCTCCTGGACCTTGGGAGGTGTAGAACAGGTGTGCTACTACTTACAAACGCTCACTGTGAACTTGAGTTGACTCCTGTGAAGTACTTTTAACATCTCTGGAAGCAAAGTGTGATTAAGATTATTACAGAAGCGATCGGGTGTCTCAGGCAATGAACACGCTGCATTTTAAAACCTAATGTTACCATTACCTTAATAGCTAAATCACAATGTTCACTGGCAGTAGTGAGTTGTTCAATGTGTCTGTCCACTTCTGCCACCGATAAACTGCAGCTGCTTTTCTTCCTCCCACAGACAACATTTTCCAGACCTGTCAGCACTCTCTGCAGTTCTGAATTCAAGTCACTACAGTTATCTAAAAGAAAGCAAGACAAAACAAAACAAACATCACAACAATTAGTGACTCAATGAAAAAACAAACTCTTAACCAGGAAGTGTCTGCTGCAGAACAGCCAGGACTGATACTGTTCAGAGAATGTCCTTGCACTCTGCCACTTTTTCCTCGATAACTGATAGGCTTAAATACTATAATCACATCAACTGAAATCATGAGCTACCTCTCATCTGATAAACAACACCTGACTGCTTCACGCCACAGATTATCTGAAGTGTCCATTCTTTCTTCAAAACTCCCTCTTTTCTGAAGAACATTTCAAGATATTACATGCTTACATTCAGTGACATTTTTTTTCTGTTTTTCTTTTGGCCATTCAAGGTCTATTATCCTGATTTTATTGAAGTCATACATTTGTCTCTGTAAATACGTGATTCTTCTGCTGGTACATTCAGGGATGTTATGACTTGATGTTTTTCAGAGGAATTTTTGTGGTTGTACTTAGGTATTGCCTGATTCTAAAAAATCCTGGTGTTTACAGAAATGATCCCTACCAACCACCTTAGAGCCTATGTTTTATTTTAACAGCTACGCCTTCAAATAAAGCAGCTGAATATTCACAGATCATAACACCACAGCTTATGTTTCATACTACAACCATATTACCACCTTATACAACAAAGCTATTTTAAAGTATCACAGAGAATGACTTCCTTTCCTGTCTTCAGGCAAACCTCTTCTAGTGCCCACTGGTGTAGCATCCTCCACTTATGTGAAAACATGTGGGTCTTTGTACCTTGCTAGCTCACTCCATAAATTAATTTTGTTTCTCTTAGGTTCACCTCTGGTGATGGGCAGTGGCAGATCCTAAGGCAGACCTGTGGCAGAATTCACCCTTGTGCTGTCTCCTGGATGTGCCAGTCAGTATTTCTGGCTGGCTAGATCAGAGTCTGCAGAAGTCTACCCACAGCACAGCACAAAAAGGGGGGCACTATGAGGCAGCAGCGCACCTGCAGTTCCTCCATCCCACTAAAAACAGCAGCAGGCATTCTTGGTGGAGGTTGTGATTCCTGTATTATTGCTGCAAGCACTTAACCATAGTTTGACCTTTGTGGTAGTCTCACAGCTGTGGATCTTGCAGGGCACTAAAGCAGTGTGGCATTCAACTGGGTCCGAATTTTAACAGACATGAGTCACCAGATTATTGCAGACTGCCTTGAAACCTCCCTGTGCAAGGGAAGATTGAGAGCTGCTGGATGTAGGAATAGGAGGAACAGAAAGTAAAAAACTGCAAACTCTTTATCATTAACCTAACTTCACAGCCTAACACTCATAAATACAAACCTACTGCTGACCGAAAAGAAGAGTTTAGAATGATGTTACAGCACTGCATGAAAAATTTGAATGGGCAACATATACAAGTTTTTTCTGGGAAGTCATTTCACTAATTCCTAATTAGCAATCAACCATGTGTTACAGTAATACCAAAAAAGCCCCTCATAGTACCATCATTCACTCACAAGCAGGATATAGCAAGCAGGATGCTTACTTGTAAAAACCTTGTGTTTTGTTTGCTTGAATTTGCTTTTTTCCATAACATCCTCTGTAATAAACATCTTGTACATTTAAACAACTGTCACAAGACCTTCTCTGCTGGGATTTGTTCTGATGGTGACACTCCCCCATAAAATAAGTATTTTACAGTGTGAGAACCTCATTTCTGACAGAAAACCAGCACAACCCAATCACAAGCTCTGCAAGACATACTGGAGAGCATTCACAGTTCTACCTCTAGGTGTTTTATTGCCTGTAGCAACAGAGCAGCAGATCCACATGCACCAGAGTGTCATGAGGTACTACTGGTTTTACTAAGTCACTGATTAGGGCAGTCACTCTATCAGGGCAGTAAGCAAGTCATGCACATGGGTTATTAGAGCATGATTATTTCTCCTTATATACCTACATCTAGAAGGATTTAAAATCATACATGTTCCTGTATCTATATGTGTGTGTGCAATTTATTTTCACAGGAATATGGAAACAACATCCAAAAAAGATAAGAGTCTATGGATAGAAGAAAAATATGGAAGAAATGCTGGAATCCCTAGACATAACTTTGTTCTTACTTTGTCCATTGTTGTCTGTGAGCCTACCCTTCAGGGAAAAGGGAGCACCCAATATTTGCAGATGCTTGTGGTCGAAGGAATGATGAAAGTCACAGGATCCACAAAAACTCACAAATACACACCTGGCATGGAAACTGGGTCAGGTTAGGCCCAGACCTATTATACAAGCACATGGCAGTGGTTTTTGGATGAAGTGGGAAACAGAAGAGAGAGAAAGAGCAGATGGAAAGGGAAGAAGAGAAGGAGGGAGAAGGAGGGAGAAGGAGGGAGAAGGAGGGAGAAGGAGGGAGAAGGAGGGAGAAGGAGGGAGAAGGAGGGAGAAGAAGAAAGAGAAGAAGATCACCAGTCTTGGCTCTGGCATGATTCAGCTGTTCAGGGTGCTGGGTTGCACATGTAAAGCAAGCACCCTCAGCTTTGTGGACCTGTTTATAGGTAAGTTTTCCCTGCTCTGGAGATAAGGTTCTCCCTTTCTATGCAAATTAGTTATCATGGACAAGCTGTTCTTTCAAACCTTTCTAGAAATGGCTGGGAGGGCTTCTGGGATCTTAGGTGACCTGGATTCCCCTCTACAGCACATGTCCCCTTCTCAGCTACATCTGTGCGCCTGCTGTGTGCTTTGTTGTACTCATATCCTGGAGCTGAAGAAGGACATTTGTCTCTAAAGAGTGGTGCCTGTACCTCCACATGGCTCTCTTCTCCAGCCACATCCTGTTCCTTCCCAGAGTTTGTTATTACCAACAGTCCTTGGCTGGCTCCAGAGCTATCTGTCTGTTGGTTTTTGAGACAGAAACATCATCCCCCTTATATTCTAGGTCTCTACATTGTATGTCATTCTACTGCCATGTTTTTCATTGTTAGAACAAACTTACACAACTTGCTGTTTATATCCACAAAGCCTGGTTCAGCTTCACTTCATGAAGACAAAATAAACCCTGAAAAAGTGATTAAGTTTCCTTTTTGTTTTTTTCTTGGTAAGAAGAAAATTAAGGATGAAAAAACCCTCAGAATCTGTTCAAATAGGAACTTAACAGTAAGCACTAGCTTTTGAAAGTAAAATATTAACTTTTTTATAACTTTAAAAACCTCTATTAAATATTTTGAATTCCTAGGTCAGACACTTCACAGTCACATTATTATTAATACTGTTGTATCAATGTTTGTAGAAATTGTAGATGTGAAAATACAAATATGCTGTTGCAGGTCTTGCACTCGTAAACAATATAGTATAGAAAACAGGAACAGAATACTGAAGAGAATTCTGGAAATCTGTCATAGTGAGGATTACACCAGAATTCTGCTAGAAGGTCTGCTTCTGGGGAAATGGAGGCTCAGGGGGCACCTCACTGCTCTCTGCAACTGAGAGGAGGGTGCAGTCAGGTGAGGGTCAGACTCTTTCCCCAGGTAACAAGTGACCAGACAAGAGCAAACAACCTCAAGCTGCACCAGGGGAGGTTTAGATTGGATATCAGGAAAAGCATGTTCATGGGACAGGGTTGTGAAGCGTTGACCTAGGAACAGACTGCCTAGGGGGTGCATGGAGTCACCATGCCTGAAAGTGCTCAAAAACTATGTGGGTATGGCACTTGAGGACAATAAATTTAATGGTGAACATGGTGGTGGTGCTGGGTTGATGGCTGGACTCAATGATGTCACAGATTTTTTCAAAACGTAAAGATTCTACAATTCTACAATCAAGGCACAAAGATTACTTCACATCTAAGTTCACAGTCATGTAGAGGCTCAGCATCAATTGTGAATAACACATCCTACATTAATTCATTTCCTCATCAAATGCTTGGATTTGCATTTCAAAAGCTATGATACCTTTCTGCAGTGGGAAGTCATCACTTCTGCTAAGAACACAACTCACCCACATCTGCAGTGACCATGGTGGACTGGTTCTCTGGCACTGAGACAGAGTTCTGGTCCATGCTGCGTGAGTCTTCATTAACCTCCTGCTGGCTTTGGCTCAGCTCTGACCGCAGCTCTGAGTACTCATCCTCCTCCCTGGCAGAGAGAGCAAAAGGAGAAATTAAATTCTGTGAGGAAAAGTGCATCTTCGTGACAGTCATTTCAGACCCACAAGCTGTGCCACAGGATCCAATTTACACAAGTGTTTTGCCCAGTCAGTAGAGATGACTTTAAACTCTTCATTGCAAAGCCACTGTGCCATGCTTGCAACACCCACTTGCAGCAGTTGGTGCCTGGTTTCCATTTCTTTATTCCTAACTTCATTATTTCTCCTGGCCACTGGAGAAAAAAGCAATGGGTGGAACTGAGTGCTACCAAGGATGTATGCAAGGACATAGACTGCTCTGAAGTAACTCCCCAGCTGATAATTTACACAAATCAGCACAAGCGGCCTTGATCCCAAAGTGGATTAGAAGTAACTGGTTTTGGTCTCTTTCTCAGTCCAAGGATGTCACCACCTCATGTGCAAAGTAATCATGCACATGAATGTACCTGCACATGTGAATCAAAATGCTTTTGGAGACAGGTTGCTTTTTATTTTCTCTTCCCAAAAGAGAGAGGAACAGATAAGTGAGCACTGCACTGAACTGCTGGAAAAAGAAAAGCCTCAATTACCTAGGTTTTAGTTTATTTGTCAAGCTGGTTCAACTAAAATAATTGAGGACACAAAATACTTTAGCTGAAGCTAATGAGCTTAAAAAAATTGGGCCTTTTCTCTCCCATCTCTACAAAGAGTTCAAAGCACTGGGAAAGAAGATAAGTAAATGAATAATAGCTTTGCTTGAGAACATTTGTAAACATTTTTTCTTTTGATCCATTTGCTGATTTGACTCAGATTTATTATTTTTTTTGAACTTTCATAGCAACTGTTTTCACATTAAAGTATCTATTTTAAACATTGGAAAAACACCAGTTTATCCAGGTGCAGGGCCCCCTCTCATAGAAAAGAAACAGCCATCATTTTGTTGCACACTAAATCACACGCAGAGATTAATTTTGCTGCAGATTCAGCAGAAAAGTGTGAGAATGGAACCATCTGGCTTTGGAAACAATGAGAAACAGCAAAGACCTATCTGGGGATCTGGGAGGGGTATCTATAATGTTAGGTCTGTTGTGTGTGTGCTACATGGTGATGAGTGTTTCTTGCAGGATTCAGCCTGGAGGTGTGTCTCGATTTGTCAGGCAAAACAGCAGACAAGATGGCCCATACATGCAGGTATCAATGACAGAAGTAAAGTCTGCTCTCAGAGTTGCAGAGGTGAGAACTTATGTACCTCAATAAAAACCAAAAAAAGACTTCTAGCTTGCTTGCCAAGCAGGGTTTCCCAAGGTAGTGAGATGCAATTTCTACCACGTTCTTCTAGACCTTACATTTGCTTCACTGCAAAGAAAGTGTGACTTTAGCAGAAGCACTTAGTGGCGACTATTACCAAACAAATTGCAGGTCAGCTGGTAAACACTGAGATTTACATCAAAGAATAGTCTTGGAAGTACCACGAAATACTTAAGAGAGTGATAGAACCTAGTCATGAATAGCAGGAGTTAAAACAGTGTAATGAAGACACATAAGCGTCCTTTAATGTTCCATGAACCAGTTTGTTATTAGCCACAAAAAAGCCACTAGTAATTAGCTTTAGACAAAACAATTACCAAGCACTCAAACAGTTGTAATTTTTCCTCTGAAGGTAATTGACTTTTTTTCATTTATGAAACAATTAGTCTTATATTTTTAAAACCCGAATTACCTCCCAAATGGATAAAAAGTTCTGGCCTTAAAGCAACAGCACACATAACAATAATAATTTCTCACCACTCTTCTTTGGGGTCTTGCACAGATTTTTCTGTTTAATATACAACACAACCTCATCTAGCTAGCAACAGTACTGGGTTTTTCAGTTTAAGTGCCCCTCAGTATCTTGGGACAGTGAAAAGTAAATCATGCAGTAGGACTCTCACCCTTCTGATGACTCAAGCCAGAAGTCAGTTTCTAAATGAACTAATGCTTTTAAAAGCTGACCAGAAAGATCAAAAATCCATTTCTGATAATGTGGCAGCAAGGTCAATCAGTGCTCCACCACCACAGAACAGACTGAAAACAGACTGAGGGCAAGAATAAGGGGGAATTCAAGGGCAGTGATACATCACAAATATAAATTCTGCCATTAAAACTGATGCTGGCAGTAACAAAAGATGCTGTTTGAGACTTTCTTTTCTCCAAAACAGAGGAACTGGAAATGCAAGGTGCTCGACAGCTGACAAGGACCAGCCATTGGATTCTAGCCACACCACTGGAGGCATTACAACTTCCTTATTGCTGCTATCAGCAACAGCTTGGTTGTAAAAAGCAGGCATTTGTTCTGTTATGGGCCCTGATGGTCCCACTTGCTGGAATGTCATGGTAAGTTGGAGGCAATTAAGACCAGATCAAGCCATGCTAAACACAGAGGATGGGAGGATTAGAGAAAAAAGTCGGTGGTTTTCAGTTACTTCTGCACCAATTGCTTTCTTCACTACTAGGTGCAACCAAGGATCAGAGTGCTGCACAGACACTCAGAAAAACTTGTTCCAACAGTGAGCAAAACTGCACATTTTTCAGCACCCTTTCACACCACAGAACACTGGCAAGGTGCATGTTTTCTTCATAGCTGCAGTCTATAGTTTGTACTACAGATACCAGCAGTTTTTCAACAATCATTTAACTTAAAAAAACTATTTTTAAAACCCTCTAAGACCCTCAGATAGAAAATACTACAAGTGTATGAGCACAAAGATTGACGAGTCCCTCTGAACTAATTCATTGTGAACAAATTGTGACACGCTTGAGACAGCACAGAAATTAATCACTGAGGGCAGGTGGAGCTGGGCACTGTGCATTGAAGCCAACATTATTACACACACATTGCCCTTCGAAATGGTTCCACCTAGCACATACTTAGAAGCCAGAATTAGACCTCCAGGTCACTGTGTAAATGTGACTGTAAGTGCTGTGTGCTATTTCTTGTGAAGCCGTAGTCTCTTTGCTACTGTTATAGATGGATAAAGAGATGACTGGGTCTCACAATTAAGAAATTACTATTGTTTTGAGTATTGAGAAAAGCTTTAGTGATGTATAGTTATGTTATTGTAGTTTAGATGTCCTCTGTTCTCCCCATAGTTCCCTTTTCCCCCCCTGTATTGTTGCCATCAGACAGCCTGGGTTGTCTAAGATAGGTAAAAACAAGGCATGCACATGTGCCCCTTGCATGGGGCAGTTGGGAATGGAAAAGCTTGGTGATTAGGGGGTGCAGGATGGCAACATCTGATCTCCAATCAACTTCCAAGAAAGCAGTCTCCACCGATAAATGGCAAAGAAGAGCTGACTAACAGACTTTGGGAGGGGCCAGGGTTGGCTGATGCAACCCCCAAGATATAAAAGACTGAGCGTCCATCTTGAAGATGAACCGGCCACATGGTATCCACGAGGGCAGTTCCCAGCACTGTGAATTTTTCCTTATGTAGTCCTTTGTTGTATCTTTTGTCAAGGTTTAATAAACCTTTTTAAATTTTCGAAGTGAGCAGTTGTTTCTCACACTACCCCTCTTTTCCATTAACTTCCAACACTTTCTAAATGTATCTCAGAATAAAAATTGTAAGTCTGAACAAATTATTTTACACTAATGGGTTATAAGATTCTTGACAACTATTTCAAGTAATTTATAGCACGCACCAACACTGAACATAGTATATTTCTGTCTGGTATTGTTATAGTTGCTCGCTATTTTTAGAGTTAGAGATGTACCCAAACAGCCATTGGTTTAGAACTAAAAGCAATTAGACATCTCTCTTTTCCTTTTCTTGAACCTCAATTTGACATCTAAGAAAAACTGTCAGTCACATGCTGAAGTTACAGCTGATTTTGACAGCCCAAGAAATTATTAAGGAAAAAAAAGAGTCAAGTTTGAATGAATCTAAGGCTATATGAAAAACTTCTGAAGTCAGAAAATCTCACCTAAATATAGACATTATTACATTTTAGTACTGTGTAATTTCTAAAACCTTTTCATCTTTCAGAGTAACTGGGTGCATCCTTTATGTCCAAGTATTTACAATATGACTCTGGGAAGATCCATTTGACTGGTTTTCCCATCTTCTAGGCTGTACACTTTGAGATAAAATTGCATGCACCTTGTCAAAGGACAGAGATCTTTGGCAACAGAGGCTCGTCTACTTGCACCTGAGTATTTGAGTGCTGGAACACACTTTTTTCACCTTACTACCTCTTTTTGGAAGGGGGATTCCAAACCAGCTAGGCTGTCCGGAGCATCAGCAGTAGGGAGATGAGACAATTGCAGATGAATGCTGGCTTGCCCCCCCAAGCATGGTGAACTCATTTTACTCAAGGAATGCTGGAAGAATGCAGAGCAAGAGCTGCAGCTAAAAATTCATGAGGCCACACACATGGACCCAAGAAATGCCTAGCAAACCTAGAAAAATCCTGTAAACTACTGAAAGCATTCCTGTAAGATTACTGCCACGGGGATCAGCATATCAGACACACCTGGAAAGAGACACATGCATTGACATGTGAGTTAAGCTTTCTCCCAGGAAAGCTGTGGCTGCCCCATTCCTGAAAGTGTCCCTAGCCAAGCTAGATAGAGCCCTGAGCCACCTGGTTTTGTGGAAGGTGTCCCTGCCCATAGCAGTGGTTGGAACTAGATGGTCTTACAAGTCCCTTCCTACCCAAACCACTCCATGATTCTAGAGCCGGCATTACTAAACTGCATGAGCAAAAGCCATTACACTTCTAAACTCTGACAGTGCAAAAGCAAAAAAAACCCAACACACACCAAAAAATAGAGACAAAAATTCTCAGAATGGAGAATATTAACCGGCTTATACAGCCTGCCAACACTTCCTCCTCAAACTGTTGCAACACCTTATTTGATTTAAACATGGTGTCTCCTTACTTTCTGTTTCTGACATTCTGAGGGCACTGCTTCACATTCAAATAAATATAATACAATTTAAAGAGGATACCCTCCATGAAGCACTGGTTTCTTCTAATTGTTTCCAAAATATTTTTGTGTTTAGGAACTATAAGGAATGTCACAGAGTAGAGGTACATGAAGCTACACGTTAGTTTATTTTTACAATCTAAAACTGATATGTGAAAAAGAGAGTCACTGTGTCAGCACTGGGGAAACATTAATCTGTTATGCAATTAATGTAAGCTCTGGTTCCAGAAAGACAGCCCAAATTTTGTGGCAGCACAAGTAAAGCCTCTCCTCAATACTACCTGCAGGTTTCAAAGAGACAAATCAAAACTAAAATCTTCCTGTTTTAGAGGAAAGTGTAACTGCTGAGGCCCCAGCAGCGCTGTGTTCCCAGAACATCTTCACTCAGGACTGTTCTGCTCCAGCTCCCAGACTCAGCAGTCCCCAGAGCCAAGGGTGGAGCGCTGCGAGTCACACCTGCTCCAGCAAGGACAGCAACTGCACCACCCTTGCTCTGTGGGATGCATGGACAGCTTCTCAAGACTGACACATGTGGATCCCAGAGTGGATTTACAGAAAGTCACAGCAGGAGGTATCAGTTTTCCTTCTTTCAGCTGGCTTTACAAATCCTGTGGAATCCCTTCAGTTTCCATTTTCAGAAGGAATATTTCTCCTCTGTTCCCCAGGCACCAAATTATTGGCCTGACAAAGAAAATAAGCTATTTCCATCATTAAAGGAAATAAAAAGAGCCACTAACTTAACAAACATTTTTGGTTCTTACTAATAAAACCAAAACAAATAAAACCAGATGAGGCATTCCAGCTGTCTGAGCAAAACAAGCTCTCAATGATTGAATTAAACTGGAGTGGCATGACAATGGTGTGGCACCTGTTGCAGTAGTATTGTTCTGATGCCTTTAAAGGCCAGAACTGCCCAAAAGGGACAGAAAACCTGCATTTTTCATGAGAAGCAACATGCACATCCCATTAGGCTTGTTTCTTACACCTCATGTTCCTGTGCATGTCACAGCTGACTCATTTATGGACATGGTTAAACATTCAGAGGTATCCGTCTGATTCCAGTTCTTCATAATTTTACACTACCTGGCATTTACTTTGCCACAAGGATTCCAAACACACCATTTTTATGAATTCTATGTAATATTCTTCTTAAATGTCATAGAGCTTTTCTGTCACTCAAGAAGAAAAAAAATCAGTGCAGTTCTCATGCTTTCTCAGATTTTGCTTTTCAACTAGTCTTTTTAAAAGACAAATGGAAAGTTTGTCTGCAGAGGTATCAAGCATAAATGAAGAAGGGAGTCATGGGGATTTTTTTCAGAGAACTACTACCAGCAGAAAATACCTGAAAAATCTCACCGTGACCATTGCTAGTTACGATCATCTCATAGGCAACAGTACTTATGTTATTAAATAACATGAACATGTGATTCTAACACTGCTTTAGTAGTGGTAAATATTTATGTGATTGTGTTTTGTCTTATTTATGGTACACCAAACATTCTTCTTTTTCCATTCTAATATATTAATGAAAGATTAAGTGAGTAGTTGTAACAACATTGTCTTGTGCTAGCAGAAGTACTCGCAACAAAGAAATGAAGCAATTGCCAAAAAATAAGTGCAACTAATAGGTAAAGGAAAACTGAAAATTTGCTATATGGCCAGAGCACCACATCAACATTACCCACAAATGCATCAAATCTAACTTAATGTTCTCTAGAAAATCCACAGATTCTGGCATATCATTGCATCTTCACTAGGTAAACTTTAGGAAGCTCCGTCTGCACTGCAGTTCAACTTTTCTACATTGAAAATAATATGTAAAAACATAAACATGTAAAAAGTGAGGAAAACTGTTTCCATGTAGTCAAATATAAAGTTTATTTTAACACAGTAACAACCTAGTGTAATACCCCAAGCTTTGCTGCTGCAGAACCAGGCAACAACATGATTTGTACCATTGTGTTTTGTCAAAAAAGCCAGCACAAGAAGAGGCAAAACCTACTGATATCTATTTGAACTGTATCTTTCCCACAAATGATTTTGCTTAGGTGATCTACAGGAGGCTGCAAAATAAAGTTAAAAGTTGAGGTTCAAGTCGGGTGTCTTCATCTTCCTTTACACACTGTTGCTATCACTTATATGGTACACTGGCACATTACAAAAAGGAATATTTAGATGTCATGGTGCATGTTTTGCAGTGCTTGTCAGGTTTTGTAAAGTGTGGCTTTGCCAGAGAGAAGGAAGCCCTTCTTGAGTGCTTGGGATGATACTCTGCAGAACACACACCATGATTATGGGCAGCTATTCTGTACCCGTCATGACAAGCCCGAAAGTCGTCATCATATTAGAGCATAACTCGTACCACGTCTTGCACCAGTCTTGCCCTGGCCCAGAATTCCCAGGAAGCTGCAGTACCTTATAGTTGCTCCCTGCAGCCGATCGATTTTCTTGTTGAGCTCAGCAATGATGCTGTGCAGCTCTGTGATCCGCTCCTCGTAGCGCAGCGTAGTTCGCTCCTGCACATCCTCGTGCTCTCTCATCAGGTGGGACTGCTCACACTGCAGCAGAGAAGCAAGGAAACAGAAAGGGTGTTATGGACAGCTGCAGGAGACTGGGCACAGGGCAGGAGTGCACTGCACTACAGTTTTCCTACTCATCAAACCAACAGTGTCTTAACAAGAGAAAAGGACAGGTGTGTGCAGGTAGGCAGTTACAGTATTTGAGAACTGACAAACTATGCAGTGTACTTACTTGTTTTTTTTCCTAAAGAGAAGTTGCCATTTCTGCTTGGAAAAAACCCCACTATTTGCAACTCAAAATAGCCATAAATATATAATCTTTGAATCATAGGATCTCCCCATTGTGGTCTGAAATAGAACAAATCTTACAGCAGAAACCACATTATTATAAAGTAATCACACTTTGAGGTTATAACTTCATCTCTAGTGTAAGTACTTGCTTTTAGTAATGTTTATAGGTAACATCATATTTTTAATATGTTCGTAATCTCCAATAAAATGCTCATGATTTGAACAATAAAGAGCTACATGACTGCTTGTTTTTCATCCATATCATGAAATCCTCCTTTTTCCTTCCCACAGCATTTTAAATATAGTCTCCCTGGCTTACTCTTCAGGCCAGCACATGCTCTATTTCAATTACAATAAACCATTACAAACCACTGCAATGACAAGCCAGTACTGCATGCTGATTGAAGCTTTGCTTTCATTTCTAACATTTTGCTTCTGACCCCCTCCAGTCAAGCCTCCTAGCAATCACACAATGTCAAGTACCATGCTGTCAAAAAAACCAAAACTCACAAGCCACTTAACAGTATAAAACCCACACTCCTTAATTGAAGAGCAGCAATGTAAAATCTTAGCATTTCTAAGGGCCAAAACTGATAGTAATATTGGAGGTCCTCCAAAACTGCTGAATCAAACAGGTTTTTTTTTTCAAATCAAGTAAACACTCTATACAAGCTAACTCCCTAAACCCTTTGGACTACAAAAAATAATGAAGGAGTAGATGTGCCAGAATTTTCATAATTTGCTCCCATATTTTTGGCCACTTACATTCACAGCTTGATAACATAAAAAGACTGCTTGAAAATTAAAATCTACAATAAGCTTCAATAACATTTTTATTTTTAATTTTAAATAAATTTATTCCACAGTTTTTAACTTCTATGAATATTCACACTTAAAAGTAGCACAGACATCAGAGCACCCTTCCACAGACTACAACAAAATAGTTTCTACCTTCAGCTGTGGTAAAAATCACTTTCACCTACACTAAGGAAAACAGATCATATCATCATACTGCAAAGGAGAGGAAAGGAAGACATTTCAGAAGACTGATAATGTTCACTTGGTTTATGAAACTTCAGGTTGGCAACTGATAGGCTGTACATGTACCTTATGATGACTCTTTACAGAAGGATCATTCTACAGCTTATATCTCACATTTCCACATCTTAACATTGTATCTTTCTGAAGATTTCAAACTGCAGAAATAACACAGAGAAAGTGTTTCACAAAAGCTTTAAGGTAGATTTAGGGGCAATAAAGAGTTGCTTCTTCAGCCTTTCTAAACCTGAATTTCTTCTGACACACGTATTTGTCCACAAATGCTACCTCACCATTATCAAGATCAATCTATTATGTGCACTTGTGGTTTTTTTAGCTTTTAAACCAAAGGGATGTTTCAGATAGAGTGTATAATAATTGTTTCCAGATAATAAATAAAACCCCAATCACAACAATTTTTGTCTTTCTAAGCTATGCCTGAAAAGCAGAATTTGTTTCTATTGACTGAAGATATATGGACTTTTGCTAATGGGTTTCAGCCACATTACAACTTGATTTCTGTTTTCTCCAGCCATTTTTCAGTGACCATTTTTCAGGATAACATCATTCAGTGACAGATGTACTTTGTGAACAACCAGCAGTCTGGCAATATACAATAATAGCTTCACATTTGACTTTTTAAAAGAGCTCTTGAATTATCTTAGGTAAAAGCAACTGGAAAAAGCTGAAAGGAAACCTCTGTAAAAGATAAGCCATGATACTGAGGACTGGTCTGTCTTTGAGGCAGGGAACAGAATTGCATTTCCTAAGTTCTGGTCAGCCATCAAGAAAAAATGGCAAAAGCATCCAAGCAATGGAAACATGGTTCAGTAAGAATCCCAAAATGCACCAGTGGAAAATTGTTCTGGTTATTCAAAAGTGCTCTTTATTATGGAACTGTCATCTGAAAACTTAAAAAGGAAAAGACAAATGCATGTTTTTCTACCCACTGCTGAAGTTTTTCTCTGGGATACTACTGTGGCTGTTCACCACCATCCTTAGTTTCTTTATGGTTTGAGTCTCAAAACAGCAATCTACCACCGGTCTCTATTTCTTTCCAAGGTGTACACATTCACCTCCTAAGATTTATTTGCATGTCAGTCACACAGTACAAGGTAAATATAAATACCTATACCCTTAATAATAAATAATAAATAACCTTATACCCTTTTCCTCATCTTTCTTCCAGCCTCATACTTAAGAGCTCCAGTCTCAAAACCCTTAAGAGGTCTAATTCTCTAAGAAAGCAAACACAGGGATAACCAACTGAGAGGTTGCAAAAGATGAGCAATTAATTGTTGGAGTCAGAAGAGAAGTTTCCAGCACAGTTCTCAATATAAGTTGAGAACTCTTGGTTGTTATTTGGTATGGATTAAAAAGGTCATTTCATTTACAATAAAAATTAACAATGGTTGGAACCGCCACTGTCTGATCTCTTGATGCTAGGAAACAACAACAGCAAGAAGTGTATGAGGAAGAAGAATGACAAGAGAAAACATTTTAATTCAAACTTATTGTCTGAACAAGTGATTCTATTTCCTATTAATGTTCATATATTCTTAGTGAAAGAAACACCAGCAATATGCTTAATTCTGTTAATCTTTATATTAAATTTGCAGTGTTCAATCAGCGGTCAAAAAAAAAGGAACTACTAGCAGCGGTGCTCATTACGAGATGCCCCAGTGCCCCAGGCCCTGCAGAGACAAACCCTGGCTGTGGTGCTGTTCACCAAGAATACAAGTCATCACCTGAACAAGCCACAGTGATAAACCTGTCTAACAGGATTACAGAAGCTAAAAAACTTAGCTCAACTAATACAGTGTTTTAATTTGAGAGGAGTGGCAGATTTAAAAGTAGCAATCCATTAATCTAAATTTAAGTACAAAAACAAGTCTATAGTGCTAAATCCTCAATCACAAAAGCATGCATGGTCAGAATTAATTGTTCTGTGATACGTTCTGTGTATACTTAATGTGGAAGAGGAATACAAACACAAAATTAATCTATGTCTGATAAGGACATCACACAACAAAACAAAGTCATTTCAATGTTCATTTGAACACCATGCATTCCTATTTCAAGTTTCTCTGTTAAACGAGAAACTAAAGCCTTCCTGTGAAGTTCACATGTTCTTACATGTCTACAGAGAATGTTGCTTCTGTTCTTATATGTCTACAGAGTGTTGGTTTTATTCTTATACTGTAATTCTGCTGTTCCTCTCTATATTCTGAATACTCAAGAGGATGGCAAAGAACTATTACTGCAGTAATGAGACTTACTGCTGTGACACAGGATCCAGAACAATACAGCATATTCTGTGTCTAGAGCTATTATAAAATAACAATGACTAAGCATAAGAATGAGAGAGCAGGACAACCTTGTGAAAGGAGATGAAATTATAAGAAAAATATAGTAAGTGAATTATCTATTCTTGTTGTACTTGCTGAAACATTCAGCATGTTATTAAATCCCATGCTCAATCACAGAACTACAGAACTCAATGTCACAGGATATTGGAAATGCCAAGAATGTAGACAGATTAAAAAGAAGATTATATAAATCCATGGAGGACAGGACTATAGAGGACTATAAAATGTGATATGGCCTCCTGCTCACAGATGTTGGCAGAAAGGTGGGGGATATGAAAGAGGAAAATCCTCCATGTGCATTTCTTATGCTCTCCCTTCAGACTCCCACCGTTTATCACTATCAAAGCCAGGATACTGTGCCACACAGAGCCAGTAGAAAGTACAAGAATTATCATAATCACAGAAAGATTTTTGGAAGAAGACATTAGTTGTGGTTGACCAGTGTTTCACAGCAAATTTCATTCAAGAGATCATTTTATTGCTGAATTGTACTCTGATAAAAACACAAAGAGACCTGCTATGTTACTGAAATAATAGAAGCATGCAGAGAAATGCTATATCTGGTCTCTATAGGCTGCAGATTTGGAAGGGAGTATGCTACAACAACCACTAATCAATTACATCACTTCACAAAACCTTAAGCCCATGCTGTCCAACTAGCTTTCTTCACCATTTGTTATCTATTACTTGAACTGTGGTTCCCCAAATCACCTCCACTCTGCAAATCACTAATCCTTTCTTCCAAATGCCTCACATGCTTCATGAAATGATGGGAAAGGTATTACAAAAAATGTGTTTTAAGAGCTATTTGTTCCAGAGAGCATTTACCATGCCAGCTAAAATGAAACATGTGCTGCCTTAGTAAGTACAGTCAGATACAGAATAGAGATTTAATACTGACCCACTAGCATCTGAGTGTGGTTATGCAGAACCTCAAACACCTCCTATTTAATTTATGCCTTCTGAACCTCTGATTCACATTAGACAGAGGCTGTAGAGGAAAGAATAATGAACTAATCTCTGTGGAGTGGGAAGAAAAGTTAAAAAAAATATGTTAAGTGGCACAAGTACTTGGTATGCAGTTAGAAAAAGAAGGCAAGGTGCAGTGGTTTCACCAGTGTATGTTTTAGTACTTAAGCACTGCCAACACATTCAGTATATGAGTTGTGTTTGTTTAATGATTTGAATTCCTTAGTAAAGATTTGTATTTTATTTAACACATACTAAATTCTATCCTCTGGAGGGCTTTAGAAAAAAATGAAGTGCAAAGAGATAAATCATTAAATCTTTATATAAAACTGTTCATTATGAAGACTTATTTGTTTATCCAAAATCCAGCTATGAGCCGGCTTTTTGGATATTCCAGTTGTGTACTCTTCACAGGTCAGGAGGCACTGATCACTATGTTTGTGTTTGCATGGCTCAGGATCAAGTAAAACCCCCAGCATTACAAACCAAGCATTATGTACGCATGCGTAATTGGTAACCCATCAAAGAAAACACCGAACAATCTTGAGCTAACAGAGCACATGTTAATTGGTATTAAGGACTGATCCTTAATCCCAATTGCCATCAGTGTGTATTCAGTACTGTATGGGAGCACCTACAAGGCACTCTTCATGGGCTGAGAGATAATATCTCTACTTTTAAATAAAGATCCAGAAATAAAAATAAAATACTAAGAAAAACCTGTGGTTAGCACCAGACCCTCCAGAGTTATAAATAACAACAATAAAGTCAGTGCAATCATGCAGAATGATGTGGATCATTTGGATACAGTGAATCCATCTGAGAGTTTAATGCAGCCTCATAGCAAACTGTAAGCCAGAAAGAGGACTATCCCAAGAATGCCACAGAAATTACAAAAGGCTCTCAGGATTATAGCTGATAAACCATGTTAACTCCCAGCGTGGCTCTGGATCACATATTGAGGAGAATAAAAACATGAAAGTGATTTTATTTCTGGATGTTACATTGATGGTCTGCAATAACAGTATCACTTACAAGCCCATAAATCTTAAAAGCAGCTGAAAAAAACATTAGGGAATGCAGACAAAGGCCAAAATAAGGGAGGACTGAAGAAAGAGCCTGAAAATCGAGACTGCTTAAACACTTCTATATTTGGCTTGAATTTAAGTAACACAGATGAAAGGTCTCATCAAAATGAAATAAATATCGAAAATTTAAATCTGTAAAGTCACAGAAAGGCTAAGGATTGCAGGGACCTAAGCATTACAGGAACTTACTCACTCAGTCCCTTACCCAACCCAAGAACAGGTCCAGGTGCCTTGAGTACTTCCAAGGCTGGAGATTCTACAACATCTCTGAGCAACAAATAAAGTGGCACAGGACAAAATGGTTTTTTTGTCTGTATCCAAGCATTTTGAATTAGTTTTGAAATGTTAACTATTTTTAAAAGGTATTTGGTAAAATGGTAGTATCTGAAAACAAAGATTTTTTTTGCAGGAGAAATATTAAAAATAGTTCGATTTTCCTTGCTTGCATTTGCCACTATGTAAGAGCTATGAAAGCATCAGAGTTCCAACCTTATTTTTATTAAACCCCTTGGCTTTCCACTGGCTGTATTTTCCACAATTCCAACTGGCATACTGGAAGCTAGACTGAGATCACAAGTAACTTCTCCCATAACATCAAAACAACTGAAAATTGGCAGTAACTTTTGATCAGTGTTAATTTGTGCTGTGTTTAAATGTGACCCAGGAGTGCAAGGCTCTGCAACCTGTTACCTAACTCACTGAGAGCAACCTGTAATTCTTATATTCTACAATAATTCAAAGCACTTGTTGCTTATACTGACTTCAAAACAAAATGTATCTAATTAATTTTTACTTTTTTTTTTTAGAAGAATGTCTTCAACACATAAAAGGTATAACCCATGGCAACTATGTGTTTTGTAGTCTTAAAATTCTTTTGATTTGTGACATTGTTTGGAATTTTATCCTCTCTCAGGACAAGGACTGCACAAAACCAAGGATCTTCAGAATCTTGAACTACTATTGCTCACCTGTGCTTTTGCCAATTTCTTTTCCAATAGGTCACGCTCCTTTTCTGTTTGTTGTAGACGCTTATTAAGCTCCACAATGTCTCCCTTTAATGAAGCCAGGGCTGCTAAATGAAGCTGGAAGACAGAAAGGAAAGAAACAAATGAATCAATTCGCAAACCACCTAGCACTAGAGAAGAGACAATATTATATGGCAGCTATAGTAATGCGGTTTTCTGTAGTAGTCAATAGGAACTTCAGTAGAACAAAGTCTAAAAAAATCCCACATACAACTAACAATTTAACTAATAGTTTTTTAACATGGAATTTTTCTATCCAGGCAGAACACACATTCCTTCACCATATCCTTTATAAGGGTAAATACAACGAGGAATAATTCAGCTAGGAATGCATAGATTAGCTCTAATGCTACTGCATTAAGACATAGCCTGAGTCTTGTGCTATAAACCCTTATATTAAATGCTGACTAAGATTTGCATTATAGAATGAGGTGTACCACGTTTTAATGCCTTTAGACATATAGAGGTTATCATTCTGGTGAAAGTGGATAGCTCCATGCAAAGGATTTGCTTTTATTTTGCAACTAACGCTTACATCACTGCGAGCTAATCTTCTGCAGTTGTTGCTCTCCTCAGTCCCACGCCAGTGAGTTTCAGTGATTCTTATCTACTAACCAACATATGAAGAACCCAAACTAATTTTCTTTCTGCAGCAGATGCTTTTGATGAAAGATACTTTCCACACTTAGCTGATAGCATGCAAAAATACATATCAGGCTAGGATAACTCACAACATTGAAATTAGGTTAGCTACACAACTTAAAAACCAAGAACAGTTCTTAAAAGAATTTTAATTGTTCCCATTCTTTTCTTCTCCTTAAATACCCCATTCATCGTTTCACCAAATTCATCAGCCAGAATTCAACACTAAGTATTGATAACTACAACTGGAAAGTCCAGGAGGAGAACTAGCCACTGGCCCTGAAGTCTTTCTTTGTAGTCGTAAAGAAACAGCTTCAAGTTATGCTGGGTATGAAAACAGAAGTGACCTTTCACACCAGACCAAGCAACTCAGCAAACACTGCTCTGCTGCCAAGATTCAGGCTGAAATACAAACTGCTTCTAATCCTCCACCCACTTTCAGTCCCTCAATCTGATATTCTATTGGGCGGGTCACCTAAAAGTAATTTCTCTTGTTTCATTTGCAATGAATCAGTTAGTAAGTCCTATTTTGATATAAATTCTACCTTTATAATACTGGAAGCCAGCAAAACCATAGCTGTCTTCCCATGCTGATGTGTGAAAGCAGCTGCCTGACAGCAGAGAGACCAGAACCAACTGGCTCTTCACATACAGTATTCCCATTGTTAATGAAAAAAACTCTCCCTTCAAGACAAGAAAGATAATTTTAAAAAGGTATTTGGATGTGAATTCTGCCTTTTTAAATGCTGTGTAACTAGTAATTCCCTGGGTATCCTCAATTGTCAGTGCAGTCAATAGGACTTTTATTACATCAGCTACAAAAATACCTTACATACATGTAGTTATTTGTTTCAGTACAACTATACACATACACAATTTTATGTTCAGAAGATTTAAGATTCTCAAGGCAGCCTCATTTTTCATGTAAAAACTCAGTAGCTCAGGCTTGCTATGGGCATATCCTACACAGCTTCTATAAAGTATGTACACTGAAAATTCTGAATAAACCAAGAAACATCCTTAATACCTTGAAGTATTTTTGACCTTCAGCAGAAGGAAACTATGCACTGATTTCACAGTGCAGAGAAAAAAGAAGCAGACCAATTGTACCAATCTGTTCGTTACTTCCTTCAGATTTTCAGGAAATCTGGTATGTTTTTAAGCCACTGTTTTACCTTATTTCCATAACAGAGTAGAATTGTTGCAATGAAGCTCACAAGTTTGTTCATCAAAATGCACATCCTTCACCACAGCTTTCAAATAGTACATGAAAAATGGCTACAATTCTCCAAATTGAATAAAACAATGCTACATAGTCAAGTGTCATTCCCTTTCATACCCTGTAATTAAATGATCACCAGCTGTTGTTTTAATTAAATACAAGACTAATAATGCCCATACACATGGCCTTGTAATATAAAAGGACACCATTAATTTGAAAATCTCAATGAAAAGCAACTTGTTCTCTGAACAGCGAAACTAATGAGGCAGACTTCCAATGGATTTGTCTTTGTCCTCTTCACCCTCTGCAGTCAGCTCAGCTGTTCTTCATGTCCCCTAGCACACTGCAAGCTGGGTAAGAAACAACATGAATTGTGCCTGGTTTTACAGCAGCCTGGCCTAGCAGCCCCTGCCAAAGATGGGTATCCAATACCTCTGTGCTCAGTATAGCATCTCTCTTCTCTAAACAACCAAAGGATAGCTTTATTAAGGACAAGGAAAGCTTGGTCTATCTTTTACCATCCAAAATTACCCTTTCATTAATTGGATTGTTTCAGTTTCCAAGTGCTAATAAACTTTAAAAAAAAACCAAAAAAACAGAACAACCACAAAACAAAAAAACAACAACAAAACCCAAAACCAACCAACAAACAAACCACAAAACCCCAAAAATAAAAATAAAAACAAACAAGCAAAAAAACTACCCAAAAACCCAAAACAACAACCAAAAAAAAACCAAAACCAAACAACACAGTGAAAAGGCAGACTACCTAAAAAGAAGCTATCATAATAGAGGAGGGCTGCTTGTGATACTCTAGTTTGATGTGCAAGTGATGCCTCCAGCTACTACTGAATACATAAGATTAACATAGCCATTGTAACTGTGTATTCATGGCAGAGTCAGGCTCTCCTCTGCAATTCCTTAAAAAGGTTTTACGAACCATCATGCTTCCCAGTGTGCTTGTTTATCACAAGGCAGGTGGGAACTGGAACATAATCTTTGGATGTTGCTGTAACTCAGAAAAGGAAACATCTGAGCAAAGAGCTACCGTCTATGCAGAAGGTAGCTCTGGGTGGGGGAAAAATAAAGTTCATGTTTAGAAATCAAGTTTAATAAGCCAAATTATTAAAGTGGGAAAGACTCAATTTAAAAATCTCAACCAGTAAGTCAGCCACAATTGTAACTCTGCAGCACTGAACTACTACAGGATCGTGACAACTGAGAGAGAGAAAACTGGGATGGCCATACAGCATACTGCTTTTTTCTCTCCTCAGCAAACAATGACAGATAAGGCAGAGTCACTATGACTAACACTCATACCATACATTTATAGTTCAAGGTGGGCTGCCTCTTAATGATACAAGATTTTGAAACAGATCAAAAACTCAGCAGTGTATAAAATTAATACAGAGAGCACAAAGATTTCTGCCAGTACAAGACACTGGTCTGAACCTTTAGGCAACAGACTGTACAGAGACCTGCTTCATACAGAGAGAACAGTCAATTGACAAAGCCTGTACTGTTCAAAAACTTTATATTGATCCAATACATCTATTCGAATTTCATCAAGAAAAAAATCATTGTTGTGATGCTGAGGCACCCAAACTGTCCAACAGGACAAGCTGGGTCAACACGTGAGAACGAGATAAGAAGGGTCAGACTAGCCAGCCAATTTGCTTCTCTACCGTCATCCAAGAAGGTAAGAAAATAGATTAGATGCATAGGATAAATTAAAAATTCATTACCTATCTTAGCTTAGAAGCTACAATTTCCTTGAGCTTTTATTACAGTAACAACAGCGGGTTGCTTACTGAAACATACACACCACATGTTATACCCAATATATCCTGCCAGGTTTTAATATATTAAATATACAGTAACAATTATTTATTATTATTAAGATATTACCAATATAAAGTAACAAACTCCATAATATGCTTTTGTTAAAATGCAAACCAATGTACAGCTAAGTTTTGAAAGGTACTATAATTATAAAAACATAAGAACAAGCTTAGGAAAAGCAAGTTCCTAACCTCCGATCAAGCCTCCTTTATGAATGCAGTTTCTTCCTCATTATCCACCTGCTTCTACGAGCATTTCATACAATACTGCAGACATGATATGTGATGCCTATTTTGCACTGTGCTTTGAAGACTGGTTTTGGTGCTATGAAATGCTTTATGCAGGAATCAGGAACAACATTTGTGGGGAATCATATTTCTGAAGAATTTTGTGGGAAACAAATACAGAAGTAGATGGGATAATAAGATGAACTGAATGCCAAGGAAGCAGGTGACTACTGTACTGTTGAAGTGTTCTTCACTTCTCACTACTAGAAGTGTTCTGATGCCAAGAAAAAAACAAGAGAAAATCACAAACGGCAATGAATGAGGGTGCTGAAAAAATGATAAGGTTAGAGCCCTGAAAAAGCACTTAAATTACTAATACACTCAGCATTTTTCCAAGCCATTGTGAAATATGATCCTCACCACTAAATCTGATCCAGATTTTTCATTCCCTCAGTCTGGAACCAGACTAATTAAATCATATTGCTAAAACCAGTTGTACTGACTGCACATGTTTGCTATTTTCAACAGAGAAATTACAGAAAGGACCTATGCATATAGTTCTCTGTGAAATTTAAGTACTAATCTTATCTTTTTCCCCTTGCTTCCTGTATTCCTTAGCTACTCCACTGCTGCACACCAGTATGGGAACCGATGTTCAGAAGGGTAACCTCGGACATAACCAGGGAGCCATAAAATCACACCAAACTATATACCAATACAATGCAGCCAAACACCAAAAGCTCAGTTTATTTGTTCTCTGTGTGTCCTCTGTGGCTGATCAGTAAAGCCCTGCCATGGGAGAAGGACCAGAGATGGGCCAGGGTCCATGAAGCTCAGGAAGAATGTGGCTGGGTGGGACTGAGCATAGCTGTTGCAAAAAAAGCTGACTTGATCTCAACACCAAGAGGATCTGAGGGTCAGTTTTGATTTTGACAAACAACTGAACAGCTGAAAAAATCAGCTGGTGTGTATTTCTACCCAAGCTCATTAAGAGTGTGAATGTCTAGGAGTGTGTTAGCCAGGCCAGTGTGGGGTGTTATACATACCTCAGCCCAAAATAAAAACTATAAAAACATAATGAACTGACAGAATTTCAAAGTGAGTGATGAGCTTGAGCCAGTTTC